CCAAATAGCGGAAGATACTTTCCAAGAGCTAAGCAAAGTATTAAGAAACAGGAAGATTTCGTTCGAAACAAAGAAAAGAGTGTTGAAATGTTACGTAATAGAAATTCTCTGATACAATTTCCTTACAGTTGAAGTAGAGCCTATCACGGACGGAAGATATGAACAATGAGTAAGTTTTAAAGAATATGGGTCACTTTTACTTAGAATCAGAAAGGAACTGTTGAAATTTCTAGGACACAACATGGGGAAAGTGGGCTTGGAAAATTTAACACTCTCAGGACATACTGAAGGTGAGAGAGATAGGTAGGTTATTTAATGCTTTCTTCTAAGTGGTAACTAGATAAATATTGTTTAGCGCTGCAAAGAATAGGAACAAAATAATACGTTTCACCTATAGCGAAAGCGACGTGTATTACAGTCACGTTTATGAGCGTGAGATACGGGGTCTCGACGAATATGAATTGCCAATAGTGATGACAACGTGCAAAAGTAGTATTTGAAAGCTGAAAGCTTGGTTTAGTCACAGTTGTTATTGGTCCTTCCCCCTTTCTTTGTTGTACCTCCTGTGGAAATTAGAAGGTATTACTTTCGGAGCTTCCCTTGTAGATCGAATCATTAAAAAAACGATCATATTTACGGCACTACAGGGAAAGCTGCGGGATTCGGCCTCCACACTTTTTACTGAAACAGAGCTAAACAGAATGTTATTGAGCTGAGCTGTATCGTTGTTCTAAAATCATTACTGCTATCAGATTAATTCACAAAATAAATCATAAAACTTTACCTAAAAACTAAAACTTTTCGGAACTTTTCTGTTAATTTACCGCAAACTAAAAAGAATTTATTTACTAAAATTCATACCAAAATGTCCTTTAAAATTTGTTCAAAAATGCATTCATTGTTATTTTTTGCCTTACGTCTCCAAAGAAACTCACACAAATAAGACAAGAGTCTATTATGCTGCGATGAGTCCCAAACATGGACTTATTCTTCATTTTGGCGTTCCGCCAGGTTCTTTCGATCGTTTGCGTGTGAGCTGATGTTTCTGGGTCAACGAAATTCCTACTGTGATTTATAATCAGATGAATATAATTGTGAAACTCATATCATGTCAGAGCATTTCATCAACGTAGGAAGAATATTTAATCTTTGTAAGAAGCGAAAACGCCACTCTCCTTGTTGCATTCCTCTTGTATTAATTCCAGCAACTCCATGGCAAGCTAAACAAATTTTGATTTTAAATTTATAATTTCAAAAGAGTGCCAAAAATTTAATAAAGAAACAAACAAACTTTGATTTAAAATTTATAATTTTTAGGAGTAAATTAATATTTGCGATAAGTAACTTTACAATACATTATTTGGGGCGAATTAACAGAAAAGATACAACTTTTTATAAGTCTATGTAGAAAAAGGCTATAAGTCACATTCCCGAAAATAAGTACAAGCGAATTGCAAAATAATGTGTATTTAATATAATTTTTTTTAAAAGCTTACAGTAGATCTAAATATTAATTTTATGAGAGGATTGAATAAAAAATAGAAACAGTTAAAAGTTAACATCTGAATTTTAACATCTGATTTAGCTCCCAACATTTTATTTTGTGGCGACGTGCCTGGACCAAAACCATTTTCTAGTCCCGCAAAAATTAATCGGTGTTATAATTATAATTTTATTTTATTTATTTTTTTGCGGGCGGATTTCGTTAAGAAATAACCAACAAGCAAAATCTAATCAGCTTACTCACATTAAATGATTCAAGAACTCCCTTGCTTAAAAAAAAAAATACAAACCGCATAAAAGAGATAAACGTCATCGTTCGTGTCTTTAAATAGATAGTACAGTAAAACATCCTTTTATCTGGCCAAACGGTAATTATCTCCATGTAGAAACTGTTAGTGTTCTTGATTAATCAATAACATTAATTTAACTTTCAATCTCAACACACAAATTTAGCCAATTTTGAATAAAGTGCATCTAAAATAGAAAAATATCTTACAGTTTTGATATTTTAATGACAGAAGTTCGTATACTTAAATGGATGAAAAAGTATCCAAAAACCAAGCGAAAAAATATGGCGAATAAGACCGGGCCTCTTTATTGAATGAAAGCCTAACGAAGAGTTACGAACCTTTTACAGACACTGCCTCAGTTGAGATCTGAATAGGAGTAGCCTTCGCAGTTTCTAAATCTTCTTTACTAACCGACTTGGCGGTTGTCTCTGTTTTTCGTTTCCACCTATTCATATTGAATTCGAAAGAAGAATGTTATGAAATAATAGAAATATGACGTCATTGAAATAGTTCGCTGTTGACATTGCAGTCCGTCCGAATATTAAACAAACTAAAAATAATAATGCTATTTTTTTTTAATCACGGATTTATTTTATATAAGTAAGGAATAGATTGAAAAGTATTAAAAGCACCAGAACATATCAAAATCGATTATAATTTATTTTCAAGATTTACAAAAAGCAAGAAGCTATTGACCACGAAATTAAATTATTAACAAATCTGTAAATGATTTAAATTTAATGACTACTTGCCAAGACTGGATATTTTAATCGAATGACAACAGGTCTTATTAAAAGTTTTCACGTTATCATATTGTAATGAAAAACAAACGCGGTAGGAGCTTTACTGGAAGCTTTATTCAACTATGCCTCAACTAGCAACAAACAGGCTGGAGCTTACTTATCCTTTAACTTGTCCAGGGGAAGACTTCTACCACATTCTTCCCCGCTCAATTTTGTTCAGTCACTGGATTTTTGTGCGAATTCATCCGGAACATCGCGGCTATCCCTGGTCAGGGGCTATCGGGCACAGCAGGGTGTGGTGCTCGGAATAGTCTAGTTCTAATTCTTTTGTCTACTCAAAGTAGGGCGCTCAGAGTCTGAGAGCGAGTCACCAGCGTCCGTGCTTGGATGCTCTCGTTTTTGTGCAGTTGATCTGGTGTTGGTCGGAGTCTCCCCAATCTTCAGGGCTTTGATTCTCGGAAGAATCCTCAAATAGCGTATCGTCGGTGCTATCAGAGAAAGTTTAGGCTAACGAACGGGAAAGCCTGCCTATAGATTCTATATCCCTCCAGCAGATGCCAAATCTCTGAGCGAGGCGTTTAAATTGCCTCCCGTCAGAGTGTCAGATGAGAGCGGAGTTGGATTGTCAAGCACGTCTGACAATTGTTCGTACCTCTCGTGACTTCCTCGACAGAGAAGGTAGGTTTCGACTACGTATCACATGTAGCATTCTGGAGATACCCGAGTGACGCAGTTTATTAAGTTTCAGGAGATCTTCAGCCACTGCATTTTTCTTGCCAGGACGATAGACGAGTCAAATGAAATGCAGCACAGCTCAATTCTCCATCTGGCTATTTTTCGATCTTTATCCGGCTAATTGTCCTAGAGTTATGTTATAATCTTCCTAAACCAGATCTTCTTCTGATTCATGTTACACAAATTTTCACTGTCCGGATGTGAACGCTCCGAAACCCAAGACCGAACTAAAAATTCCATCAAACACGCATCGCACACACCTTCCAAATAAAACATACAATCCAATTTTTTACCCATTAGCACCCACTCCCTCCTAAAGAAGCAAAATAGGAATTGGAGCCCATCAAAGAGACATCTTCGGCAGTCGGTCGGCACAACAGTCAGGGTTCACACGCTCGTCAGAACGCCATCTCCACACCCAAAGACAACTGGCCTCCCATCTCCAAGGACAACTCGCCAAAGCGCGTGGTCGCAGTAAGTCATGACTCACCCTCCCTCTACTACCGTAAGCCACTGCGAACGGCTTTACTTATCTCTTTCTTTCAACGAAAGGCTTTCACACCACTTCACCATTCGTTTTATTTTTTGTTAATACAATTATTTATTTCTTAAATCTCTGTCGTGTTTTGTTTCTGCCACAATACGCTTATAACAGTTGTACATGAATGAAACAGACTTTTGTTCAGTGACTAGTCTGAAATGGCGGCCGATCAAGTAATGTCGTAATTTCATTAAAGTCTACACAATTGCATAAGCCTCTTTCTCTATCGCTGAATGTCGTAAGTAGTGATCCAAATTTTCCTCAGGCTGTTACCTTCTAGCTGAAAGAAAGTGACGAGCAAAAATGTCGTTTTTCCTTTTGACGAACATTCCCTCTAGAAAGGCAACAGCAGTCTCGGAAGAAATAGTGGTATAATTCCGAGTGGAGACATGATGAAATAATAAGGTTAGCGGAGTCGTCGGAGAAAATCTCTAACACTGCGATAAAGCTGTCGATTAAAGTTTTCCAATGCTTCCACTTATCAATCGTGTCTGGATCAGATGTATCAATATCCAAGTTCTCGGGTTTCAGATACTTCACCATAGTTATTATAATGAAAAACAACCGAGGTAGAAGTTTTATTCAACTATAACTCAACTCTGGCAACAAACAGGTTGGAGCTTATTCTTTTATAACTGGTGGTGGGGGACAACTATGGTTGACTTCCATCACCATAAGAAATAAAAAAATACTCAAAAGAACTCGTGTCCCTTGGAATTTTTTAATATAGAATTTTTTTAATAAGCGCGTACTGTCATTCGATTAAAATAAGTCGTATTGTGGTTGAAGATCAAAATAAAGATAAGATTATCTGCTCTTGTTTGTCACCAGGAGGAGCGTTCATTTTTACGCCATCTTGAAAAAGTATCGGGATTCGGTAACCACGGAAAAAAAGGGTGGCTTGACTGTTGCCTGGAGAACCTTTGTCACTGAGGATTACCCACTACTAAAGATTTTTACCAGTTATTCGATTGCTGGGAGTGACAAGTGGAAGAGAACGGTCTTACTTAATTTAAACTACAGGCTATTTTGGCTCACAGAGAGGCAAAGAATGACAGGAAATATAAAATTAAGCACTGAGATGGTGAAACACTTTTATAGTGAGGGAGATGTAATATCCTGGCTCGGTAAAATCAAACTAGTGGCAAGACTTCAAGAAATCACAGATATTGCCTGTCTTATACCACTCTACCTTGAAGGTGACACCCTTGAGATGACAGAGGAAGAACAGCAGATAGAGCTGAGATTGAAGGAGCCGTTCACGGAAGGTCCATTTGTAGCATATGCCAAATTGAGCAGTATAGTGTGGAGTGGTGAATCGATTGAAGTGTATGCCAACAGTGTCAGGAGGATGACAGGATGGTAAGGTTTAATGGAAGAGGCCTTGAAAGGAATGTGAAAATGACCTTTATAAATGGGTTTCCAAATCACATCTGCAACATCTGTTTGGAGTACACATTATGACGATGGGTGAATTGATAACTCGTACCAGAGTATTAACCAGTAGAAGGAGCACGTGCAAGAGACAGTAGCTGCCGCAGGGAGAAGCAGCAGACAGCCTCAAGTTACAAAAGAGGAGGAGAGAGGACTGAAGCGGCGAAATCTGAAAATGCAATGTTTCAGATGCCAGAGTCCCCATATGATAAAAGACTGTAGGGAGGAGAGGCCACATATTACCTGCTGTCGCTGTGGACAAGTAGGCCATATTAGATATTGCCCTTGGGGAAACGAACAAAGTGGGACTACAGCGCCGATGGCTACCCACTCTACTGAATAAAGTCGCCCATGGTTGCATTACAGCAGTCAGAGATGACTGTAAATGGTCGAGTGCAAAGACCCTTGATGGCACTGGATGTACCTCAACGCTGCTCACCAAGAATAAGGTTGATACGTGGAGTAGGACCATCAGCATTACAGTGATTGATGAAAGAGAAATGCGGTTCAACTGAGAGTACGTGGAACGGAATTAGCAATCCACTTGATTATTGCAGGTATCAGTGTGGTGTTAGGCATGGATGCTGTTAATCAACTGGGGGTGGGTACTGTAAACGAGGACGCTGTAGAGTTTGGTAAATTATGATGTGCTACAAGTGTGTGTGCAGAGAAGTATGGCAGCAAATACTGTTATGGATCAGAGATATATGATTGATGAAAAAGACTTCTGTGCGACTTTGATGGTAATCATCATCATCATCATCATGGTTGATAGGAACTTCATTAACAATCCCTTTCCACACTGTTCGATCTTGTATTGCTGTCCCCAGATCCCCAATGTCTAACCCTGAATGCTGAGCTATGGTGTGTGGGAAAGTCAATTTTCGTGAGAAGGCACTTTCAGAATAATGCCATAGAAGTAAGGATGAGACGATTTCCCTGTCCGCTTGGTTGGCAGTGGCCGGCAAACTGTACTCGTTTTTGTTTGAGCTCAAGAGAGATTGGCCTCAGTTATCCGTAAATTGTGTAAATTGATGGTAATAGTTGGACAGTTGAGTGGGCCTGAAAGGAAAGCCGCCAGTGCTAAAGAACACGGGAATGTTACAATCAATCGTTGCAAGGAGAGGCAAAAGCAGTATTCAAAAAGGATGTGGGGCGCTTCATTGAGGAAGCAATCCTGATGCCTTGGACAGAGAAAGTAAAGGGTGTACTACTATTGATGGCAGTGATTCATCTTACTGGATTACCGGGAATTAAATGAATATATAGCATGTCATACAGGAGGTGAGACAACGGATGTGCGTCCAGACACCATACGCGAATGGAGGCAGACGCAAAAAATTTCAACGATTGTTTTGTTGATCTAATATCTGCCTATCCATATCTCCAAGAAGTGGTGGAAGTATCAGCTGGTTAAATATAAAAGCCAAACATACTGCCTAACCAGACTCGGATTTGGTCTGAACCCAGTACCGAACATCATGTCAACAATTCTTAAAATAATCCTCGATAAAAACGAAATTATGAAAAAGGTAACCAGCTTGTATATTGATGACATCCTGGTGGATGAAACAACGGCTACAACAGAAGAGGTGATAAGCAAAACAGCCGGCGTCATTAGAAAATGTAGCAGCGTTGCGGCTCCGACTGATGAAAGACGAAACATGAAAATTGGTTTTTCGGAGAAGAAATGAAATTTCTGATGTTTAACATCAGATGAGCTGAGAAGAAGGGAACTGTTCTCCATATGTAGGAAGAAGTTAGTTGGTCTCTACCTTGTTGTCGGATGGCTGCAATTGCAATTGTAGCTATATCAAGAAGCAGGCTGATGGAATGAGTTGGGAAGACAAGGTCAATGAGGAGGATGTTAACATGATGAAGGAGCTTGTTACAGAGGTGAAGGGACGGGACCCTGTGAGAGGGTACGTGCCGAAATGTAAGAAATGAGTGGTATGGTGTGATGTCAGCAGTATAGCATTGAGAGTCATCTTGGAAAAATAGATATCGAGAATAAGATGTAGATGTACGTTCGAAAACGCTCACATACGAACACAACTACGAGGAGTTCCCATTCGATATTAGCATACCGTTGCTCTGTTTCCGTCAGAGATTTAAACGCAAATGCTATGGGCCTTCCATCTTGCTGCACCCAAGCCTCTATTGGATGCATCGACCTGCCTTACAGTTCGTTTATCAGGATCAAAGTAAGTCAGTAGCATTTCTTTGCAAATCAGGCCTTTTGATTTGTTGAAGGGACTTTTGGGGACTTTTAGCTACCTGTATTCTGTTTCTTTTTTAGTAGATATCTCAAAGATGATGATCCCCAGAACTTTTTGTAAGTCTGTGACATTTGTCGAGTTGGGCAATTTCTTTATTTCATCCACCTTACTGGGATCAAGGCGTACCCTGTTCTCGTCATAGATGGCTCCAAAGAAATGTATTTCCTTCTGGTCGACTGCGCATTTGTTACTGTTGAACCTGAGCCCTTCGATCTGTGCTATCTTCATTAAGTTGTGCAGTCGTGATCCTCTTTGATTTTTCCATATACTACGGCATCATCGATTAAACCTAGTGTCCCAGGGCATTTCTCCAATATCATGTCTATTTTTTTTTTGCTGGAATACATCTTGGGGCATTACCAAACCAAAAAGCATTCTCTGGAAGCAATATCTTCCAAAGGGAGAGTTGAGAGTTGTCAATAGCTGTGATTCAGAATCGAGTGTGATTGACCAGTATTCATCTTTGGCGTCCAGTTTGTAAAAGTACTTGGCACCAGAGAGTCTGTGTGCTAGCTTCTCCATTGTAGGCGTCTTATAGTGACATCGCATGATAGCGCTGTTTATATATTTTGGATCTAAGCAAAGACGAAGTTTGCCATTGCCTTTCTGACTAGGTTGTTAACCCATTCCGTAGGCTCACTTACTCTGCGAAGGATACCATGTTTCACCATATCATCTCAGTTTTGATCTCATTTCCTAGATGCGTGGGTTACAGGGTGGTTGTCCGGTTTTATGATAATGGCACAATGCAGCGCTACCAGTCTCATGTCTCTGAACCAGAGTAGTTCTAGTATAGTAGGTCCTTCTGAAGTCTTCATATAGAATTTCAGTCTTTTCCACTTCCATTTGTAGGCACATTGTATTTTAATGGAGCCATGCTGAGTGATGCTGGAGCCATTATATACAATCAGTACAGCTGACTCATTACATGTTGCACCAACGATTGGCTGTTCAGAAGGGCTAATTTTTTCCCGGAAACATCTTACGGGACGTACGTAAAGGGAGGGTATTTCCTTCAGCTCTTGTGTCACATAACCTGTTGTAAAGCATGGTGACAATAAATATGTAACACTGTAAAGCACTTACTTGTACAGCCGTGATTTTGTTTCACTGAAGAGTGTTTAAGCGGCACTTCCTTTTTCTTTTCTCTTCCGTACGAATTATTAATAAAAAAAAAAAAAAAAGAAAAATGGCGGTGCCCATTAAGTATCCATGTGGTGTTGCTGTTGCTTATAGTTATTCTCGTTATTACTATCAGAGAGGTCTGAAGTCTGTTCAACTTTAAGTATTTCTTTTTTATATATAGTTTGATAGCGTTTCTTGTAGACCCTGTGACTATATCCATTACCACTGCCATCATGTAGAATTTTTACGAGGAATAAAGACATGTAACACACATCTTAGGGTCTAGCCAGCTTGCTGCTTGCTTTATTCTCCATATGATTTTACACCCCTCCTCCCTGTTCCGTTTTCTACCTTCCTTTATTGGCGAGCTAGGCTAGGGGAGATTATTGGAATCATAACATTACATGTACCTCCAGTTGCAGCAAGATAGAATATGAAATAATTACGTTGCAATCCCTTGGTTTCTTCACCACATGTGAGCTTCTCAGGTCGCACTGTCAGCCCAAAAAGCTAAATTCAAATGCCGACCCAGAGAGGAATAACAAGCTAAACACGGATAATTAGCAAAAGGAAAGATTCTTTGACTTGTGCGAATCTTCTGTCAAACAGAAAATGGACCACTACCTCGACATCTTAATGGTAACTGGAGACGAAAATTGAACTTTTTGATCGCATTCCTGTTCGTTATGTATGAAGAAAAAAATGTGTAGTGATAGCAACAAATAAATCCTTAAATAACCTCTACTCGACTATGTAGAAGTATGAAACCAAAATAATTGATAATAAAAGAAAAGCTAAGTAATAAAATTAGTTTAAGATATAGAAAAGAATCATAATTAACAATAATGAGAGAAAAAATAGTCAGTTTATAAAAAAATAGTTAAATATCGAATAGTTCCATGATGCATTGGCACAGGCGTTTTGCTGACAATTGAAACAAAAAGTAATTTTTCTTTTTTTTTTCTTTTCAATGGCCAAAGGAATCAGTTCTCTGATAGAACATTTTACTACCAATAAACACAACCTTTTTATCTCTGTATACATATATATGTATTTTAAAATATACCGACATTTCTCTGAAATGCATACTATAGCAGCTAACACACTTAAAATGCGTATGTTCCTAAAAGAAATGGTCTCTTTTTTCCTTCGTCTAATGCGTGAGGTCATCGACCCTAACGAAAAGTGGTCATCTACAGCCGGTGATGTGATTAATACGTTTCTTGATTCAGTAACGTAGACACTCAGATTCAGCTGTTAACGAAAAGCGTGCCTTTTCTACAGACAAAATTATTTTATTCCTATGTAATAAATATGTTAATGAAATTTCATTCTGTCTTTATTCTGCTTTCTGTATCTCTTTGTTGAAGACTTATAAGTACTATGGGAATTTCCCATATAGAAAATAAATAAATAAAAATAGTTGTTTCATTAGGCACACAATAAAAAAGGACTCTTACTCAGTGTAAATTTGAAGCAGAAAAACATTTCTTATTTATAATATATGAAAAGAAAAGAAGGACGCAAAGGCTTTCTCACAAACTTTCCTTTAAGCGCCTAATGAAAATTAAGCTGTGTAGAAAAATGTTCATGTATATTTTGACGGACAGAATCACAAAATTATCTCTTCAAATTATCGCCAGTTTCAAATTTTGTTCTTTTGATTGGTGGAAAATAATCTAGAGGATTAATTTTCTTCTCAATCCTTTATATTCCAGAAACTGCCTTTTTTTTTTAAATACATTGAGCCAGATATAGCGTCGCCATGAACAGGATCAGAATCAAGGCTTATAAAAAAGTCGCGTTTAAACACTTGACAGGTTAATAATGTCTTCGCTCTAGTTAAAGTGGTGAGGGGATTAGCGTTGTATATATTTTTACAGAAGATTTTATATTTTCCCCTCAAAAGAAGCTAAGTTTATTGCAGAACACATTTTAATTTTACGTTTTTGATTTTAGAATGTTTTTTCTTTAAAGGAAATTTTGATAGGTTACACAAATGTATTTTTAAAGACGTATAAAGTGTTGTAGAATATTAATAAATCAATATATAACTATTTTTAAAGATTCAGTTGAATTTTAATTGTCATCTCCTTCTAATGAATTTACGATATAAATCCAAGGTAGGTTTAAATTTTAAATAATTTTATATTTAACCTGTACCTTAAAAGTATTCATGATATAATTCTCTAACTTGAAGTTATTGGATATCAAGCAAAACCTTTAGCTGGAAGGATATAGTCAAGAATAAATTTGCTTTTAAATTTAGTAGTTTAATTCAGCCTCTCAGATACAAGTCTACGAGGTTTGTTTTTGCCCGTCAGACATTAAACAGGTCATTATTTTCAGATTTTATCTGACCGAGCCCTTTATACTGGACAGATATGTAAACAATTTATACTTTTCTAAAATTGTTAGAAACGATTCAATCTGAAAACTCCAGAATTCTAGCGATTCAAATCACCGACCCATGTAAAGAATATAACCTTTGCCAAAATGAAGCAACTAGAAAGTGTGATTTAACAAATGTACAACCTTTCAAATAAATTATATTTAAAATTATAGTCATCCTCATTTAGTATTTAATATCCGACATAAGGATTTTTAGGAGACCATCTTTTGTTTCTCATAGGACTTCTTTTGGGACCATATGAAAATTTGTTGGACACTTTTGGATGAACGTCTTCATTAAGTACATGGCCATATCACTGAATTTGAGCAACGTCGAACCTGGTCAGTACCTAGATCGCTGACCGCTTGGGAATACCAGGTGCTGTAAGCTTGGAGGTGCAAGAAGTAGAATGGGCTTACGACAATATCATGTTGAAACACCGGTTTTAGTACGATCACCGAAGTTAAGCAATATTGAGCCTGGTCAGTACCTAGATGGGTGACTGCTTGGGAATACCAGGTACTGTAAGCCTTGATGTGTTAGTGGTGCAATGGATAACGAATCGGAACTGGAAATCGGAGAGGTGAGTTTGAATTCCAGTTGGGTTCGTTATATTCACTTACACACAAATTCTCCTGGGAAAGGTATGAATCTACTGCTTCTCCATTCAGCTAAGGATCAATTAACAGAATTTGTATCAGTAAATCAATATTAACTCAAAAAGAAAATCTTACAGTGAAAAATTATTTTGGCTTTAAATAACCTGGAAAAGGTCGATAAGCCGTGAAAAGCAAATCAGTCATTAAGTAAATATTCATTATTGTTGACATCATCCAAATCTTCCTGTATGCCCTCAGAAACATGTAAACGTTAATATTATTTGAGAAAAACAAGCTGATTTAAACTTTAATTATTCTTAATTAAAACAAATATTACGTTCATTTTAGAATATTACAGAAATGCATTTTTCCAACTGGTGTTTTTATGAGGCGTTGACACATTTATTGACTGCCTAATGTTTGGGAATTTATCTAAGGAGATAATCGTAATAAAATTAGATGTCGAATACAACGTAAACAGCTGTTTTTTTTTTTTATAAGTTCTTTTTAACTACCCAGTAATCTTATAAATTGTAAATATTTTAAGCATTCTAATATTATATTGAATTTTAGGTACTTTGACTTTAGAGTTTCACTTACGAAGATGCTTGTTGAGGAAATGTTAGAAAATCACAAATAATTTTTAAATTTACTATAGTTACCGCTCTTATTTTCTGATGATGTCATGTATGGACATCCGTATTTACAAAAAGCGGCACTTTATAGACACTCATAAAAAAATTCAAAATTCTTTTTAAAATCCAGGGGGCCGTTGAATTGTATTAACACTTTTAATTTATTACTAAACAGTTTTTTTTTTTGTTTTTTTTTAGTCATTTCACCCCAGGCATGACAATAACGCTGGGAGGAGGAGTTACAGGGAGTAAAAGTGAAAGAGAAGACTGGGAATAGGGAGGATTGAAGAAAGGACAAAAGATGAACGAGGTTCAAGATGGATGCCAATTGAACTTAAATTGAAATTTTGGGAGATTGTAGTTATCAGGAAGTAAGGAAACGGGAATTCCACGTGTGGGAAGTGCGAGAATAGAAACTGTTGGAATAGAAGTTACGGTTGTATTTAGCTATTCCAACAGTAAAACAGTGGGACCTAGTTGCCAATCTAGTAGCATGCTTAAATTCATGTATTCGAGGCATCAATAGAAAAAATCCGTCTGAGAAGCTGCTAGTAAAATATTTATAGAAAAGACAGAGAGAAGCCATGTCACATTGGTGAGAAAGTGACTGATGCCGAGATGCCTGATCAGGATCGATTACATTACAAATACTAGATTTTGTCAAGAATCTCGAGATGTACTGCAGAAGCACCAGACCAGATATAACTGTATTCAATGCATAAACGAATGGTAGATTTGTAAATGTACAAGATGGATATTGACGAGAAAAATTTTCTGGTACGGCACAGTGACCCAACTTTCCTTGCAATAGATGCAGCTATTGATTCGATATAGTCACTCCACTTCCACAAGAGAAGATGTGGATACATAGCTTTCTGCTTCCACCCAGCGTGTGCTGAAACAACAGCTCAGATGGTCAGTGAATCTTTTCTGATGATCAAAGTTTTTTTAAAATGGCAGATTTTTCTGTAGATCAGCTACCAATAGACTTTAACTCAACTAAAAAACTATTTTTTTTTTACTCCCTTTTGATTATTTGGAATTCATGTACATATGTTTGTAAATATGTATTTTTATTACAAAAGTACTGGATGACTGAATTTCTTACACGTCCCTCTATTTCCAGCATTTCTATCAATGTGATAAATGTTTGTTGCATTTTGTTCTTTCCCCACTACATATGATCCCATCAATAAAAAAAATAATCTGAAGAAGTCCTTTCAAAGGAGAAAATGTGTAACAGGATTTTTTCCATATTGTCATTCAATTAATCCCTATTAGTTCAATCTATATAGTTTATTCCTCTTTACGTCTAGGAGTGAGAAAAAATTGTATATTAAAAACACATTTTCCAAGCTGAAATTGATTTGACACATGGCTATGATAATGAGAGCAACCAGTGACTCGAACTTGTCATATATGTTAATTAATCTGCAACACTGAAATCTTATTTACTATTTAAAAAAAAAAAAAAATTACTTTCAATAGGAGTAGATAGGTTCACCTATTGTCCAGTTCAAACTCCTCCCCAGTCTTTTTAACAGGAGTAGAGGTTATCTCTTGTTTCATGTTTAGGATTGGGTTTCTGGTTCCTTCTAAAATATCTATCCTCTTTCACTTCCACTAACCCCTAGTGTCTTAGTGGCATTATTGCCTTGCTTTGGGTGAATTGATTGAAAAATAAACAAAGAAAATACAAGTTTTCTGACTATTACTGTAACATATGTGCACAAGTGTCTTGATTTGACACTGTGTAACACGTCAAGAGTTGTCTTTCTTTATTTGAATATAAATTCAATTCACTTGAGCTTTGACTTCTAACATATTGGAAGAGTGAAAAAGATTAATGAAACATCTTTATTTTTGAATAATGGTAAAAATGTCATGACTGAATATGAATAAAAAAAAAAAAAAAAATTCTGTCCAGTGGACATTGAAATTTAGAGTGACACTGAAACTCATATCCTATACCTGTGTTTCCCAACCTTTTGTCAACCAGCACCCATTTTGGGCAAATTAAATTTCGATTATTATACTGAATTCATCTTTCATAGCAAGATGACATTTAGGTATTAGTGCAAAAATAATTTTAATGATTTCATTTCTATTATAAATGCCAATGATTAAAATGCTAATAAAAAAAACTTTTATGTAATAGCTTATCTCAATGTTTTCAATGTGATGGTTGACTTTAGTGCTTACTGGCTAAGGCTCTTACTCTAGACTCCATGCTGCTTAGAAGTAATCATAGATCTTGTTTTGAAATTTGCGGGTGTTTTTTTTTTTTTTTTTAAAAGTAAAAAACTAACTACATTGAAACTACATTCAGCCATATAGGAAATTGCAAAAGCAATGAAGAAAAGTTTTACAGCTTCCCACATCTTTAGATACTTTTCATAAATTTCCTATTGTTGCCAATATTAAATAATTTTTTAAAATTTGAAGAAAAGGAAAAAGAAAAAAAAAACAAAAAAAACACACTTATAAATGTCCACCATCCACCTGAGAATGACCAACCATCACTCAACAAATAGAATAAAAACTCTTCTGAAGCTATTTCCTCAGCTGCTGTTTGTTACTGCTCCTAATTAAGGTTTAGGATTTCATCAGTATTCAGTTCTTCCCAGTGGCCCTCCAAATTCTGCCCACTAACATCCAAACCCAGTGACTTCCCCAAAAAACACACATGGAACGTTCTTTGAACTCATTAGGGCGTATTTAACAGTAAAACTAAATTTTAAAAAATTAAAACAAAACAAAAATACTATTTAAAATGAAAAATTCAAACTAATGCTAGGGGAAAATGCCCACTTAATAAAAGACAAAGGAAGATAAAGTTATGCAGCAACAAGCAAACAGGAATGTACATGTTTGTAACATATAGATTTCCTCACTCGATAACTGAGGAGATTTCTAATTTTTGCTGATAAAAAGCGAACAACTACCAAATTGTACAATAATGGAGGTGCTTGATAACCAAAGTTCTACTGTATTGATAATCCATATCATTCCAGACATGTATCAAATATTCTTTGTTGTTTAAATCATTTCAGTTAATGGTTGGTTGATTTTGTTTAGCAACACATCAACCTCTGTGGGTCATTTAATGCTGTAATCTAAATATTTTGAACACATTTTTATGGCTTCAACTAAATATATTTTAAATGTAATTGTATGCCTTTAACTATAGATAAAATGTATTGTTGGTAATTCTACTATAAAATTGTATTGTTAGCTTTTTTATATAAAAATTTATATAAAAATGCTTTGCTGGTAATTTTAATATAAAAATGTATTTTTATACTTTCATAGTATTTTGTTTGAGAGTTCACAATTTGCCCATAGTTGGGACCCTAACAGGTGCTACCACTCTGATTTAGGGTGGACCTGGGAACAACAGCAATTAAGAGGTGAGTCCATGCTCCAATCTCCTGATCAGAGGCCTTGTTGCCAGTGTAGTTTATTGTCATACCCAGGATTTCAGTTAATCTACACCCCAAACATCCTAGTATCATCTGTTTGAAGTATTGTTAATATTCTATGAACTAGTCTCCTCATGTTGGTTTGTTTAGTCAGTTTTTCTCTCTGTCCGAGATTAAATATTTTCTGACTAAAAGATGAAAATATTTAGTCATGAAATTCTGTTGCTGAAATAAAAACATCATTTCAGAATTTAGCATCATTTCACCCAATTTTGTGTAAAAGTGATCTTACTTACAATCTGTTAACTGGGACAAGTGGCTAGTTTAATTTAATGCCTCCAAAATTAAATTGCTCTCTCTTAACCATCTGAAAGAACACATTTTGCCTTCCATCAACATGGCTGATGCTAACCCCCAGAAGAACAACTCATTGCACCTTCACAGACTAACATTTCCTGCTGACATGAAGTGAAAAGATTATATTGAATTAATTGCTAGGAAAATTGGTTCAATGTGTTGTGCTAGATAATTATTCTCACCAGAATCTATCTTACATATTTATAAGTTTACCGTTTGTCCTTGCTTTGAATATTGTGTCCACATCTGGTCTGGTGCTCCTGCTATATATTAAAATAAAATCCAAAGAAGAATCTGCAGTGTTATTGGTCTTGACTTGGCATCAGTCACTTTCTCATCACCATAATGTAGCTTCCCTGTACCTTTTCTATAAATACTTTCATGGTAATTGTTCTTTTCTCTATAGTACCTAGACTTTATGAATTTAAGTGCAGTGCTAGATTGGCAATTAGGTTTCATCATTTTACAGTTGAAATGGCTAGATGTAATCCTAAGTTCTATTCTAACAGTTTCTTCTATCTCACTTTTCGCTTGTGGAACTCTTCTGGCTTCTTGATTCCCAGTCAACTTTGCATTTAAATTTTTGAAGATCAATGTGAATCATTATCTTCTGTCTTAATTCTTGTTCTTTTATTATTCACTCTCTATATAATAGTATTTGTTTTTTTTCTCATTCTCAAACACTCAGTAACCACCTCTGCATTAGTGGCTTTATTGTCTTGCTTGGGATGAAATAATTTAAAAAGAAAAAAAAAATTATGTCAGAATAAAGATTATTCCTCTTAAAGGCAGTTAAAATAATAGCAGTGTCAATGGAAAAAACGTTTTTTGGTTGTTTTTTTTTGTGGGCACAATCTCAGACAATTACCAAAATTTTACTATGATCTATGATTGATAAAAATGCTGATGACATAACCAGAAAACATGATAATATCTCTAGTTAGTGATCTAATGAGATTCTAACAGTGTCTTTTACTTTAATAATGGCATAATGAATCAGCTTTTTTCACACAAGGGCTGATAAACATTAAAAAAACTGAAACATTAAAAATAAATAAATAAAATAAGAATTCTTTTCCAAGTGTGAATCTTTTTTTTTAATTTTTGTTTTTATTAAAATTTCTCTTCCCAAATGGATTTTTCACATAACATGGACCACCAACAAATCTTGACAATATTCCCTTTGCTAAAACATCACAGCTGATATTTCTTTGCATAGGCAAGGAGGTGATGACCCAGGCAGTGCTGCAGAGTGACCCAACTACAGCAAAAACCATTGCTAAACAATCATCAATAGAAATTAAAGTTAAGAGGATTAAGAACTGATCACTGGGATGAGGCCACAATTAGAAACCAAATAAAGAAACTAATTTTCCAGCAAAGAGTAAAGTCATTTGGGATCAGCCAAGGTTGATGAGTGCATATTTTCATATGAATGGCCAGAGTCACAGATCTAAGCAAGCTGAATTAAAATAAACAGAAGACCACATTCTGAAGGAGACATTTGGTGAGGAGAGGCAAATGAATGTGGTCCAAAGAGAACCTCAACATATCACATTGCAGACCCGATTATTTTAAAGGCAGATACTGGGTAAGTATCCCAGACCTGACTCAAATATTTATATATATTTAACCAGATACATTTATTTTTGCTTATGTACAAGGCTTTCCCCCAGATATCTACTAAATCTTTCTTTGAAGAAATTAGTTTTTTTTTTTTTTTTTAAATGTCCACAGTTTAACAATTACCAAATCCATCTACCAGGAATTCCCCCAAAGTACCCACTTAGATTATCTCTGTATGTGTTTTATGCATAATTTGAGGAAAGTAAACAGGAAAAAAAAAAGTACTAGATGTTATTTCACCAAATTGTGTACAAATAATGAATTGTGTATTTATTATATACCTATCTACCAACTTACCTCAGCTTTAAATAACGAATGAGTAAATAGTTATGATGTGTGTCACTTATGAGGGTGGGGTTAAATCAAAAATATGAGATTGAAAAAAAAATAGGAACTGTGGTCAGCACTAACAAATTAGAAATAACAACAATGCTTATCTGAAGAGAAAGTAATTTGATTGTCTACTGCAGGAGAAAGCAAAAATCAGAAAGTTTTAAAGATATTGAAGGATATCTATATATATATATATAAAGAGAGAGAGAGAAAAAAATTTTAATACCACAGAATGTCACATTAAACAAAAAGATATTCTGGAATCATATAATGAAATAACCTTGAAATGCCCAGCACCTCCACACACACATACAGGAACTTTCAGAGAAATTTTTCAGATGAGCACATTTTCAATATTGCTATTGATTAATAACATCCTCATAGAATTTAATGTTTTTAAAATCCTGTTGACTGATTTAACAATCAATTGAAGAGGAATAATTTTAGGATTTAAGGGAACTGTAATTAAAATGTTGCAGTTTTAGTCTACACCTTTAGAGCCTTTTATTCAATGGCTGATGTGTTGTGACAGAGATTAACTTCAGTAATATACAAAGTTAAATGGCATTACATCATTTAAAAATGAGAAAAGAATTAATTATTTTTGTTACTGGGAATAAAAACCAAAACAAAATGATTATCTGCAATCCATGTGTGTTACCTAATTGCTGGTAAAAATTTAAATTATCTATTCTGAAATCTAGAAAATCATTATTAAAGTCTAATATTTTGATACCAAATTTTAAATGAGAAATTCTTTCATTTTTTTTAAAACAACCAATTTCATTAAAATTGCAACAAATGTAGTTAAATGCTACTTTTTAACAAAAGATGTATAGTTGATTAATCACTTTATATGGTTTAAATTGTTCAGTTAGAAAACTAAACCTTCTTCAATTAATCCAAAACCAAAAAGATTCAGGCAATGTTTTCTTTAACAAAAACAAAAAAAACAAAAGCAGATTCCAATGACTCAATGGACATTGAACACCAGACACTGATAGCCATGAATGAAAAGTGTTTGCGGCCAAAGCAGATGACAGTCACAGACCATCTCCAAGTGTCACCCATACAGTTCCAGAGACAAAGCTTTCTTTCATACTTTGCATTTAGTTAGAAACTACACAGCACTCATTTAAGAACAATTAAATACTCAGACTGACTCAGAAAAAAAAGAAAAGAATTGATTATGGAATGTTTCTGGTGTATTAACAGATGTTCACTTCAAATTTGGTTTTAAGGGGAGCTGCTGAAATAAAATCTGCTGAAATTGCTAAGAGATTCCATTCATCCTAATAATGCAGTTTCTTTCATAAGGACACATTTGACAGAATTGCTTCAAACTGATATTTACTAAATTTTGTCTGATACAAGACCAAATGAGAGTAGATAGGAGTGATGGAGGAACAAAAAAAAACAAACCCCGAGATCAGTTTTCACCAAACTTCCTTGCTTAAATTAATATAGTACCTAAGTTTGTTTTATTGTTTAAGAATTTATATTTGAAGTAGTAATTCTTGGAAAAGAAGGAAATGCTTGGAAAGCAGTGAAGAAATAACTGATTATAACCTAATGCCTAAAGTTGATATGTTACATGAATGTTAGCTGCACAATGTTGATGTCCCTTCTACATCCAATACTGTAAGTTTTCATACACTTGCTATATGGTGTGAACAAATCATTTCAAATAAAATATACACACTTAAATACTGTAAGAGGATTGGAATCAAAGTTCAAAAGTTTTTGTTTTAAGTGGTATAAGAGAAAGATGATTTTTATCATCAGAAAAATACTGATTGTGTTGTGTTTATCTTTTCTTTTTTTTTTAATTTACTATGTGTTACTGAGATAATAGAAGTATTTTCTTGCTCTATATTTCTTCAAAATACAAAAATTTGGTGAAAGTGAACATCTAAGTAGAAAAACTGTAAAATGAAAATATTTAAGGAAAACAAAAATAGGAAAAGCTATGTCCAGGGACTACAACAGCTGTAAACCTGTGTAACAAAATGATGTCCCATTTGCCCACTGTTAGATTAGATACTGTGATTGCCCTCCCCACCCCCCGCCCTACCAGTGTTCATCCAGATTGGCCGATGATAGTCAACCAAGGGAGAAAGAGAACAATAACAAATGCAGAAAGATTCAGTCTTTTCTCTGAATAAAACTTTGTTCGTTGATCTCCTGACTAACAGGTGGGGAAAGTACTGCAGACACATAACAGTTTGAGCATTTTTTGCTCAAAGTCTGCCTCTTTCCCTTTAGGAGAAGATGGAGAGGCTGAAAGAGAAAGAAAAACAGCATTCATAATCAATGAAAACAATATAGATAATATTTATTACAAATTTAAAATATAAAGAAACACTTTGTACATATTACAAATGTTCATTTGTATTGTCAAATACATTTTTAGATTTTTTTTTTTTGTGATAATCTTTTTTTCTCTGTTTAATCAGAAGCATTCAATAGACTGGATTAATTTTCTTAAATTGTTTATGAAAAAAAAAGTTATTCATTTCAATGAAAGTTGATATTAAAAATGATCTTTTAAGAAGCAGAATCTTTTGCTAAAAAATTTAACTTTGCAAATATCAAAGTTCATTAATAATGATGAATAAATTATGACAAAAATGGTTTTCCTTAATTAAGATAGATAAAATGAAATGAAATTTAAGTCTTTTAGACAGTACTTAAATTTAAATTCTCCTGAGAATGTGATTTGTTAGTTTTGATAGTTTTATATTTTACAGAGAGAGAAAGAGAGATGAGTCAAAAGAGTGTGGGTTCTCCACATGCCTACAAAACAGCTCTTACCTGATTAGGCATGGGATCTACACCTAAGAATTGCCGTATTTGCCAGTGCCAAGGATGTGCCCCAAATTTAAAGTGCAAATTTTGGAGAAAAAAAGAATAAACATGAAAATAAGGTTTCAGCACTTTCCCCTACCTTACCAAGATGTTTTGTGGGTGGTTTAGCAATGTTGATCATCTTGATCACTTGTGATCTGGATTTTATCATTTTACCTTAACAACACAGATCTGTAAATTTACTCTCTCTTAAATGTATAAAATACTGAGTGGGATATGTACCAATAGTACAGCTGCATCAAACACAATGATACTCCAGTTACACAATCCATTGTTCTCCTCAGCAATGTTTTTTCCATTGACTGAAATTATCACCTGAATGTCCATTATATGTCTGGAGGGAAAAAATTTTATCCAGACCTACAATTTCTTTTTTTTTTTTTAGATTTTACCCATAGGATGGAATATACAAAAATTAAAAATAAAGTTTTACTTAAATGTAAAACAAAAAAAAAAAAAAAGTAAACTTATATAAATTCTTTAAAAATATTTTCAAAGAAGCAAAAAAAAAAAAAATCTTTATTTTGATATGTTATAACATTTTAGAAAAATATTATTTAAATAAAATTATTTGAGAGATTCAATAAGTTTTATAAAAATATTTGGTGAATTTAATTCAGAATTTTCTCTTCTATAAATAACATTTAAACAATCTTTTATTTTGTTTTTCTTGTCATAATAATGTTTTATTTTAAAGCACTTTATAACACTCCATGTTGCTTCAATATTTTAAGTGTGTATTTGTCTGTTTGATGAATCAACAGAATTTATTGAATGATTTACTACACCAAGCCAATAATGAGAAAATTCATGATTAAAAAAAAAAAAAAAAAACTAATATAACTTGCATTATAATCACTAATTTTGGATTAGCATCTAGATTAACTAAATCTAGGTACCTCCATGAGATCGTTAAAAAAAGAGCATAGTATGATGAAAAAGACGCCAAACTTAACAAAACAAAATTTTATCGTCTAAATGTTATTATTAAGAGGAAATACCAAAGGATTTTTTTTTAAATTTTTCCTTCTTTTTATTTTAAATTTTGATTAAAAAAACCTTCATATCACCAGAACTAGTAAAAGAACATATACAATTTTTAGCATGTGTTTTTTGTATGACAGGCATTAATTTGGAAAATCTTGCAAAAATAAAAATAATTGTCAGATGTTAATGAAATTTTTGTTTTACAGTGAGTCGTCTTATTTCAATTTTTCCATTACCAGGCTTCATTTTCATACTGAAATTAAAGTAAGTACCATTTGATTTGTTTTTAATTTTTTTTATATAGCTATTTTTTTCAATATATTTTTTGAATTTGATAATTGTCTTCATTGAGATTTTAATTCATTTCATTTACATATATTTTTTCTTATAAATAAGAAATAGCAAAGAAAACATTCCCCAAGCACTGATTTTTTTTGTCATCATCCATTTATCAAAATACCACTATAAATTTTCATGTATTCCTTCTGATAAAATTAAATAAGGTGCCTATAAATTAATTAGATACCTTTCCTATGAAATTTAATCTCATTTTCAACAGTCTTATTTTAATTTCTTTACAATATATTTTCCATAAAGCATTGTAAACGTAAAGGTGAAAGCTAAGTACAAAAAAAAAGAAAAAAAGAAAGTGCTGAAAATTTTCCTTAAAAATAACAAGGTAAATAATTTGTTCACTTAAATCTAAATAATTTCACTTCTCTCCTTCTGTAGAAAAACTTATCGCCACATAAGCTGTCAATACATGATGAAATTGTCATTAGTCACCTGTCAAGTGACGTGAAATGTTATGACCTGCTTTGTTTTATTTTCAAACTACATCTTTTCAGCGTAGAAACTAAGTAATGCTTGTTTCAAAATATTTTAAATAAACATTATAATTTCTGATATTCTTAAAATAAGTTTTGAAAAAATTATAATTGATTTTTAAAAGAATTTCAAACCGATATTTTCATTTTTTTTATAAAATGGAAAAAAGGGGTTGACATGATTGATTATCTGTCAATTTTTCTGAGTCAAAAAAAAAAAGATTTTGAACAAAAATTTTGGATGTGCTAAGAACGATTAAAAAAAGTAAAAAAATACCACAAAAATACTTTGATCTTTCCTCTTAATAATAACAAACATTTAGACGATAAAGTTTTGTTTTCATCAAGTTTGGCGTCTTTTTTGTCATGCTATGCTCTTTTTTAGCAATCTCATGGAGGTACCTACTAAATCCATAATGCATTTTTTAAATGTTTTTCTTTTATTACTTAATAATTGATATCTGAATAGAAAAATAGAGACACTTGCTTAATGTTTATTATTTCGTGACAAATGGGTATGGCTTATAGCTTGGCAGTTGTCAACTAGGATATTCATGGAGATGGAGTGGTGCTAACTGTGTTTAATTTCCTTGACTACTACTTGTCTGTTGGCTCCCCCTACCTTAGTCTGTCACAGGAACATATTTTTTAGGATACTTTATTTATTTACTACCTTAAATTATGTATAATTTATAAGTTTAATTAAGAGATCACATAGAGGAATTCAGTTTAGTGTCTGGCATAGATGACTTTCCTCTGGGGTTAGCATAGGTGTACAAAACATTTAACCTTTGTCAACCTAATCTTTGAAAAAAAGCAGTGCCTTTGACACTGGCAAATACAGTACTTCTGGGATTTAGTGTCAGCTTGTTAATTGTAGAGTGAATTTGTTGATTGTGTCGTTCAATGGGGTTGAGATCTATTAAAGGTTATGACAACACAATGAAGTCTTCTTCATGTTCTTGAAACAATTCCCATAAAACTTGTAAGGTATGCTGAAAGAGGTAACTATTATTGTAGAAGATTGTTACCATGACAGGGATGGGTTAACTGGTTTTTAATAATATTGTGGGAAGACTTAAGTGCTTCCTTTTAAGTGTTTTCTTTTTTTTTCCTTCATCAATAGAAACTACTTCCATCAGTTTTTTGCTTTTCCTCACAGTGCATCCTAGTGTCATTACAATATATATATATATATATATATATATATATATACATTTTCTGCAGTCTACTGCAAGAACAAAGACACTCTCAGAACTTTCTTCTCTTGCTCATGTGACTACTGAAGACATCTTTGGTAATGGATATTGGTTAACATGGATTATAGTTACATTTATTAAAACTATATACAAATTAGGGTTGCAGTTGGTCATTTGTTAGCTCATAATTGGTAGGAAAGAATTTGTTCATTTCCGGGGTCAATAAGTCTTAGCTGCATAATGCCTTGTTATTCACCATAAAGAATGTAAATAACCCACAAGCCCTTCTGTCTCAGAAGGGCTCTGACCTAGTTCTTTATCAGAGTCACACAATTTTTTTTTTTCTTGCCATAACTGTAACATAAATATATCAAAATGAAGTGTTCAAGGCTGGAATAGGCTTTAAACTTGTTAGAAAACAGTAGCTGTCATTCATTTCACATATTGCTGGTCATGTTTTGGCATGACAGTAATAAGTAATACCTTCAACAAAGTCTCCATTAAATGATGACCCTGGGATTAGGCATGGTTTCATTACCAATAACCCAGAGAGAGCAGCCAGCAATATCTAAATATCACCAAGCTTTGTTGCCATTCTTTCATAGAGAGGAAAATATATATAAATATATATATATATATATATATATATATATACACACACAATCTAGATGCTTAATTTAGTGCCCCCCCCCCTCTCAAATAAGCACCCCCCCCTTTCCACAAGGAATTTAACTTAAGTACCTCTTTTCAAATAAACACCCTAAAGTGGCTAAACAAATATATTTGAGCCAGTGTGGCAATTTGTTTAAAGAAGTTAATTTAATCAAAATATTCTTTTGTTTAAATTTCTTCTTTTTTTTTTTTATTATTTTGTCCCATTTTCCTGGTTCCAGTGAAAATTTAAATATAAATCAACTAGTAGTCTGAATCCTTTCATAAGTCATGTTCAGAGTTTTGGTTTAGGCTATGTCAGCTTCATCTTTTTAAGATGTTGCCTTGTGTCATGTCTTAAGTGTCATGTCTTCACGCATCAATTCTAAATTTTTTTTTTTTGGATAACAGCTTATAAAAAAGCTGAAAGTAAATCAGACATTGGACAATTTATGTTTAAATTTTCACCAGAAAAAAAAAAAATATATAAAAAATATATATATATATATATATATATATATATATATATATATTTTAAAAATTAGGAGATCAGTTTATTCTGATACACGCAAAGTTGGATCCAGAGTACATTAAATTAATAAATGCTTTGGAGTGGTTTTGCAGATTTTTCTCAATTAAAATCTTTGATATATGAAATTTTGAATGTTTTTGTTTAAATATTTTGTTCAAAGCAGTGGATTAGTGGTGTTTTTTTTTTTTTTTTTTTTTTTTTTTAAATTTTTGGTGTAGCTAAAAATTAAGAAAATGAAACTTACAGAACCTCTGATACAGGCTTCTCTCGCTCTCTTTCTTTCTCAGTGGCTAGAAGCTTCTGGTGATGGTGCTTTGGCATTTTGCGTATATCCACTGCTCTTTGTAGATTCTGTGGATTCTTTTGCATCTGGGACTCCAACAGCTTGTATCAGCCCTGCTGCTTCTGCTCCTGCTGCTGTGGATTCTGCTGCTAAAGCTTCCCCGGTCGTTTGGACCTCTGCTGCTGCAGCAGGTTCTACTGCCATTGCAGGTTCTACTGCAGCTGCTGCACTTTCCTCTGCACCTGCAGTTTGAACAATGTCTGTTGGTTGGTCTTCGCATATGGCATGCATGTTAAGGCCATCTGTTTCAGTCATAGATTCACAAGATGTCTGCTGCGACACCTGATGAGTCTGTAATGGTTCTTCATGAACTAAGCTTTCATTCAGACTCAGCTCACTTGACTGTGATGACAATGCAAGTTGAACAGATTGTGCTTTTGAATTGGACTCTTCATCTTCTTTTATTTGCATATGATATTTGTAAATTGATTCGGTAGATACAATTTTCCCTTAAAAAAAAAAAAAAAAAAAATAAATAAATAAAAATAAATATCATTTTATAGATTCAGAAATAACAGATCAGACTCCCTCATTCACCCACTTCTATTTGGATAATTATTCTTCCTCTTTTCATATTAAATTCAAAATAAAACTCATTCAATGTCATACTAAATAATTTCAAACATTATATGAATTTATGAGAAACTTTTTATATGAAAAATATAATTAGTTTTCTTTTACTACATGTCTTCTAAAAACTGTTCTATTTGGATACACATTTACTGCACTAAATGTAACAACTATTGAGAGATGGAAACAGTATTGTTTTAATTCAAGTCTTTTTTTTTCATCTCACCTGAACTCAAGCTGAAGGTTCTTCCTTTGATACTTTCTTTTGCTGGTGGGGACCACCAATTCAGCAAAGATCCTACCAAAGGCACTTGTCTCAACAAACCCTATTCAAATTTACAACAAAAAATGACCAATTAGTAATTACAAGAACTATAATCATCCTTCATATCAAACAACACTACAAAAGAAGATTTAATCTGAAATGTTTGGAGATTATATATATATATATATATATATATATATATATATATATATATATATATATTTGGGTATATAGTTTAGCCAATTTCATTTAGCTTATTTTTACTACTTTTGTTATTAAGTACCCAACATTGTGATAATAGATGATATGACAAGAAAAGTGAAATGTTATAAGAACCTGAATGCAAATTTCCTGTGAATGATCTAGCAATTACAGCACTTTCTATAATATTTATTTAAAAAACTAATACTTTAATTAAAAGAAAAAGCAGTTTACTAAGACAAAAGTGCATAGAAACTGCTTTAATTGCTAGATCATCCATAGAGTATATTTGAACCCAGGTTCTTACAACATTTCACCTTTCTTGGTAGATCATCTATTCTCACAATGTGGAATACTTAATAACAAAAGTGATAAAAACAAACAAAAAGAAACTAGAAACCCAAAACACATATTTAAAAAATGAATAAAAAATTAAATTTAAAAGTTCAAAATTTTAGTGTCTCTTCCCTTCCTCTTTGTGCACATATGTAGTTACATCAACTTAAACATCACTTTTAGTCTGATGAATTCCTATGGGACAAAATACACCACACAATTTTTTTTTTTTTTTTTAAACACTGTCATTAATTTTCCTAACAGAAAAGTTTTAAAAAGTCATTACTTGTACTGCTTGAGTAACAAAACTAATTCATTAATTTAGCAAAAATTCATCTTTTACAAGTTGGGATATTCATTTTTTTTTAATTTGTAAGTCAGTATTTATTCTAATAGTGTTTGTATTATTAAAGCTTAGTTAAAATCAATTAAGAGTTTTATTACAATATGCACTTATCTTAATTTTATCTCGTCTTCCACAAAGGACAATTTGATTCATAGACCCTTAGCAATTGTTTTGTTATGAAGGAGTAAAAACCTTACTCCTAACAATTTGTAAATTTATAAACATTTTGTTCTGACTTCAGACTTAGGACTTTCTTTTGTTAATATTAAACATTTCAGCATTGAATCATAATTTAAAAACAGTAAAAATTTTTTTGCTTATTTGATGAAGTTTCCCCACCCCACTCTCACAATAAAACTAGTCACCCATTTTCATCAAAATAAATAATTCAAATTATTTTAAACTTATGACAGAACCCAATGATTATGGAAATAAACCAGGAAGCTGAGTGCTGATTTAGTACTCTCAGATTTGTTGTACCTCCCACCTGGCATATTAATTATAAAAAAAGAAAAAAGTTTTGTGGAAACTTCCTAGAAAAAAAAAAAAAAAAAAAAATTTCAATTTAAAGAAAATTATCATTTAATACAGATTCTAAATCTTCACTCAAATTCTCATTCCTTGAATCCTAACAATTCAAAATATCATTTTAGTCATGTAACTTGCTATTTTTCCTCATTATTTTTAAACATAATCTAAAAAGACATGGCTGTAAAAAGAACATTTGTAGGTAACTCTTATGAGCAATATTCTGTTGAAGAAAAGCAACACCTTGCTGGTGGAGTGAAGAATTATAAAAATTGAATATGAACTGGAGTTAGAGCGATTAAAAAGTAAAACATGTTAGGATGCCAAGTGAAAAGGATATTTTGCCAAAGCAGTTTGTTTCAACTTAAGTACGGCTATCAAAAAAAAACTGACACTTTATTTCTGCTACAAAATTTTAATATAGAAGAAAATTGTTTCCCATTAAACAATTTGCCGTATTTTTACAAACTATTCCATCATTCAAATAAACTAAATTCTAGACTAATCTAATCTTTTTCCAACCCCTACTCCATTTATATGATTTTAAAGAAATTTCCAACCCCACTTTTTATTCAAAACCTAGGAGTATTTGAAAGTAGAGTTATTTCTCATTTTTTCTCATTTCATAAATGATATTGGTGTTTGTCATCTTAAGGGTTATTTTCTTATTGTTCTTAAATAGGAAGAAACAAAATATCAAATGAATGCTGCTGCTGCCTGGTGGCTAAAGTAGATGCACAAACCTCCATCAGTGTCAGTGTTAAAGCCCAAATTTCAAATGCTGATTTTAAAGGCAAATTCGAGTTAATTACTTGAACATTCCTCACTTGCAAAACTTTAGCAAGACAATTATTCAGTTTCACCTCATTTAGCTTTAAATTGGTAAATATGGCGACAAAGATGAGGACAATAGTCTGAATAATGTAAATAATGGTAAATACCAATATTATTTTTTTTTTCAAGTTATTACGTTTAAGTTTTTACCTGTGTAAAATAAAATTTTTTAAAATTAAAGTGGAGAATTAAAAAAAAAAAAAAAAAAAAAGTGAAAAAACAGGATCTATAATAAAACTGACCTCTTGCACCATACGTTCTGCATTCTCTCTTTGGAGATCTTTATTAGCTTCTTCAATTCCTTTTACAATTCTTTCAGACATGGTTTCCAAAAACTGGACATAAAAAAAATTCAGTATAAAAATAATTTTCTCAAATATTTTAAAACAATAAACAGAATCTAAAATACCCAATAACCAATGCTTTTTTTTTTTTTTTTTTTTTTTTTAAAGATTTTCAATTGCTGTACTTGAAACATTTTTAGATTTTTATTTATGAAAGAGTTCCACAATTAGAAATCCTTGTTTTCAAATGGTTATTAAAGAAGTTTTAACCAATAAAATCCAAAGCTAAAAACCTGAAATAATATCTTGAAACAGACACAAAAAGAAACAAAAAGTGACAAGTGATTGCATTATGCAGCACTTATTTCAATTAATTGCATTACTTAGAATTACTTCGCTACTTATGTAAATGTAAAAACAATCTTAGTTGGCAATAGTATAAGTGACTGATGACTATAAAAAGGAATTTGTTTATTTATGGCTAACTTGTTTAAATACCTCACTGACCATTGTTTGCATTATGTGGCAATAATTGTAAGTAAAATGATGCACTAAAATAAGTAACCAAGTAATCATTCTAAGTTCTCTGAATATCAGTGCCATTAGAAATTATTTGGAGAAAAAAAAAAAACAAGGATTTATCTCAATTTAGAAGTCATTCAATTCTGGAATTATCAAATAAACAATATCAAATAAATCATAAAAAAAAAAAAGTATTCACATAAATAGAAAAATTGATTTAAATAATGGATCAAATGCTATGCAAAATTTCTGAATAAATGTCAAATATGTGAAGCATAGTCCATGGTAAAAAAATGTAATTATAATATTGATTCAGAATTGGTAAATACCAGGATTTCAAACACCATCCTTATCTGGAATATTGGCAGTGTCTTCCTATTCATATCTGTTTGGCAATGCACTGGGCTAAGCAAAGCAAAATAAATATCTATAACAAATTTATCCTTACTTTTGAAGATTCTTCAACTTCTTTTCCAATGTTTTCCACAAGTGACACCAATTCTACAATGTTGGTGTCTGCAGTGATCAAACCAAATTTCACACAAGCAATGCCATCATCAGATTGACCTGAAAGATAATCATAAAATTCTGAAAATGGTACAGAAGTTTATTTTACTATAGCAATTACTAAACTTGGAATTTAGTAAACTGGAATGTACGATAGATATTCCGGTTATTTATTAATGATTTGTTCCTTACTGGATACTTATATTTTCATACAATAAGTAATATATTGCAAAACAACTAAAATAAAATTGTTTTAATGAATCTAAGGACATTTTTCAAATTGAATAATAATGTTGGAAACATTTTTTTGCATCAAATGAAAATATACAAACATTTGAAAATTATAAACCAATTAAAATTTCTTAACTCTTTGAACCCTAACTCCCCTGATGAAATACAATATATGTACTTTCATGCTACACCTGAAATTTTTGTAATTTTTTAAACAATGATAAAAATGTTACCTTACTAAAAAAAATAACCTACATGTTTGGCAATTGTTGAAAGCAATAAAACATCCAGAAAGATGAGATGTTATTCGCTTACAAATAAACATTATTTTGAATAATTTGATTTTTCACCTGATGATAATTTAGTATAGAAAAGGGACAGAATTACATAAAAAAAAATGATATTTACCTAAAGAAAATGCACCATCTGTAGCTTTAAGTTTATGCACCAGTTCAATATTGAGAGAGTTGATATCATTTTTATTCTCTTCTGGTAAATTTTCTAATTTATCTACCAAAAGAGCTAGGTATATACCTAAACAAAAGAAAAAATACAGATCATCAATAGACATGTATATTATCTGTCTGATTATTCAAGGGGATAAGAAATCTTAAATACAGACAAGGGTGATTTAAAGAAACTCAGATTTTCAGTTAGAAATGCACTGAAAAAGGGTCACTATAAATTCTTGATGTTAAGTTTCTTTGAATTTAATGATTCGTTATACAAATCACTGACTTGAGTTGTTTATATGTTTGAAAAAACAAAAAATTCATCTCATACTGTTTTTCACATTTTAAGTAACATTTTCTGGCTTCAATTGAAGTGAAAAATTTGACTTAAACAGTAAATGACCAACTCAGAAACAACAATGTGTCAAGATTACCTGAGAGCTCCTAAGCCAGCATAGCCCTCCATTTCTATTAATGTGAGATTTTCACATTCCATCACAATATTTCGGAAAGGTTTTCGCTGAGACACCGTAGCATCCAGTATCACCTAGAATTTTAAAATGGATTAATTACAAACTAATAACTGGTATTGTATATTACATTCTAATATGTTGATATTATGTATTACTACAGAATTGGTAATTTGCCATAAATTTGAATTTATTTCATAAGATATTGACTATGAAATGTACTTATGATATGCCTCATATTAATTTTTCAGGTTTAAAAAAATAATTTTTAGAGAAACTAAATATTCTATAAAAATAAATAAAAAATAATAGGAACGACTAAAACCACAAAACAAATTTAAATTTGTAGGTGAATATAACAACCATTTTTTATTATACAAAACAAATAACATTAATTTTTTTCTTAATAAATATTGTCAACATAATACAAAATCTTAGTTTTAAACTTACAGAAGGCTCAAATATTTTGTCAAAGCAAACCACATAACATGCATTAGATATTAAATGATAAAATGAACAAAAAGTTGTGGATCAAGACTTGCAGCTGGACCATAGTTAGAAAAATCTTGTGAATTTAAACTTACTTTGACAATTGTTTTTACTGTCCTTAAAAGTTTGTTTTTTTTCAATTCTCCTTAAAATATATTTACATGTCAATATGAATATTTGGGATGACGTGAAATATAAATGGTTTACTTACAATTTGTGCCTGCAAAGAGCTTACAAAATCTTCAATGTCTTCCTCTGTGGTCCCTAAAACTAAAATACATTTGAATATATTAAATCATTCATCAAAAAAAAAAAAAAAAAAAAAAAAAAACAACAACAACACTCAGTTACAAGTTTTAGCGGCCATTTTAGCATCTATCCTAACTTGAAAATTGCTTTTCATTTTATTTAAAACTAGCAGTAGAGCCCGGCATTGCCCGGGGATGTAACAGTAAGAGATAGATCAAGTATCGACCATCATAAAGACTGAAAAATAAAATTGACAAAGATTATTGTTTAAGGTTGACGGACACGCATGTCTTAATTAGTTTTCTTTTCTTTTTTGTTTTTTACGAATTGGTCAAACCCAAACTCAAATAAAAACATTGTTTACAATCGTTATGAGTCTGTCGATTAATGAATAGAATTTTATTATAAACAATTGTCTTGTAAATGGAATTTTTAAAGCATTCTGAATGTAAAAATAAAGAAAAAAGTGTGCAAGACAATAAGAAACACTACCTGCCCAAAAAAGTGAAGTTTTGTTGAAATCGGTTGAAAAATGTAGGTAGCCTTTCTGTAATCTTTTAGTTTTACAATTTATGATTTTTACTTATTGAATACAGTAAAAAAAATTGCATATTTTGCTTGTGGTGATTCATAAATAGAATTCTGATTTGAATATATTTTCCACTCGTTGTTTCTAATACAAAAAATATTAACTTTATTTGGGTTTATTAATTTATTACAAGGTAAGTACTGTGTTCTTTCCTTAATAATTATTATCTTCGAAATATTGTTGTTTTTTGTCTATCAGATTTCTTACGTCAGCATTTTTAAATTATTTCTTAATACTTTCTTTTAAATATTGAATTAATTTCAAATAGAATCAATGCCTTATTGATCTGCCTTGTAACAAATTGCAAAGGGAATTGTAAAACGGCCCTAAAATAGTATGGAATTATCTTTCCCTAAAGATAAAAAAATTATCCGATGTTTTTGATTCGCATAATCAGTAGAGATCATTAGATTATTGTTTAGGTTGACGGACAACATATCTTGGTTTTTTTTTTTTTTTTTTGAATTGGTCAAACCCAAACTCAAACAAAAACATTGTTTTCAATCGTTATGATGAGTCTCTGGATTGAATAGAATTTTATTATAAACAATTGTCTTGTAAATGGAATTTTTAAAGCATTCTGAATATATAAATAAAGAAAAAAGTGTGCAAGACAATAAGAAACACTACCTGCCAAAAAAAAAAAAAAAAAAAAAAAAAAAGTGAATGTTTTATCGGCTGAAAAATGTAAGAAATCCGATCCCATATATAAAGGAACACACACACACACACAAACAACGTGGGTTTTTTTAACACGATGTGAGTTGTCCCCCTTTCATTCTCACAATGTGTCTTAATCGTGTTTTCAAATTGATTTTGTTAAAAAAACAATTGTGTTTTTCCCCCATTTCAATGCCCGTTAGAACCACCACAAGGTAATTTTATGTAGTCCTGTGAAGTTTTGTTGAAATCGACTAAAAAATGTAGGAAATCCGATCCAATATATAAACGTTACAGACACACACACACAAACTGCGTTTTATAATAAGTAAGATTATTGCTGAAAGTAAATAAAAGATTTTCAAAAAATTTAAAACAAGGCAAAAAAGTACAATCTGTTACATGTTACTTAAAGTTGGGCACTGCCAAGTAACCCCACTCTCCTAATAAGTGCTATAAAAGACCAACCATAATATGCTGGACATGTAGCAAGTAATGAGAGAATTTAAATTTTGAAAATAAGGAAAAGGTTAGTTTTAAGTTTAAAAAAAAATTAATTTAGTTGTAAATTTTGAATTACAAAACAAATAAGTAGCAAATGTAAAAAAAAAAAAAATAAAAACTCACCTTGTGCAAATTCAAGGGGAGAAAACCGTACACAAACTCCTTCTTTATCAACGTTGACGGCTTCAATCAATATTTTGGGGTTCTCTCGTAATAGTAAGTCAGCTAACTGAAAACATGCAAAAAGTACAATGTAAAATTCTTAGATAAAACAGAAAGTGCCAACTTATATATGGATTCAATTAGGAAAATCTCATAGAAATCAATGTGAAATAATGTTATTTCACAATAACAATCTCATTGTATTTTATGTCCTCAAGAAATGGGAAAATATTTACTTGCTGTAAAATTATTTGGAAAAAAAAAAAAAAAAAAAATCTAACCAAAACTCAGTAGACACTCACCCATGTGTTTAATGCATTATAATAAGCTGTTTGTTTTTCATCTTCATTTGATTCTTCTGAAGTTTTGATCACATAAGGCGTTGATTCAGTTTCTACAAACACAGAAAACTATATTGAACAAAAATGAACAAAGGCAAGTGAAATAAGTAAGGATACATTGTCAAAGACATTATTTACTTTAACCATAAAATTTTTCCACAGAAACACTTTCAGTAAATATTGAAAAATTAAGCAATTTAAAATATTTGCAGGTTTTTAAAGTTCCCTAAATACATGTAGGTAAGGCCTAAGAATATACAAGCCAAAAATATAAACTAAAATATTGTAACTATTTACACTGTTTGGGCTATTTGCCTTCATCTTTGTTGTCATATTCACAATGTTTTGACCACTGTACACTCCTGACCTTCTTCGGGTGATATACACTGGAACTTCGAACTCAGTTTCAGTTATGTCCCTTTAGTAAATCAACTCTTCAAGTTGGTTTTGTTCACCTCTGCTGTGGCCAGGTATTGAACTCTTTGGGTCAAGTCATTGGATTACTTAAACCAATGCTTTTATTCATTGAGCTATGTGTATTTGGAGATATAGTGAAATAATAAAATATAATGAAACTGATTTAACTAATCCAAATCATAGATAATGGTAGCAGATTGAAATAGTAGCATTTTATATTCATCTCAAAATTAAAGAAACATTTTGTCCATATGGAGTTAGAAAATTTTAAATGGAAAAGATTACAAGAATAAAAATGCAAATTTTGAAAACAGTAGTTTATCATTAATAAAATCAAGAAACTTAATAGAAGAAAATGTTTAAATTTAACCTTTTTAAATCAAATGTCTAAGAGTTGCCTCCCTTGTCAGTCGAGTGCCATACATGACACGTCTCTTTCGATTTATTATTGCCTAGGCAGAAGATTTCCCCGCAGTAATTTGCCATTTCTATCACAGGCTATAGAACCCAGTCTGTTCTGCTATTCGACCTATAGCTGGGGGAGAAAAGATGAATTCGTACTTTTCCCAAGCGTATTTGTGCATAAGCGAATGTAATGAAAAATGACTGCAATTTGAACTCGGTTTACAAATTTCCCATTCCAAGCCAATATCCATTATACCACAACACACATCCCCGCTTATTAAACATTTTAAAAGGTACAAAAAAAAATTCTGCTGTCCTGAATATGCACAAGATTTAATTTTTAGTTTGACTAAGTGTCTTGTGTACCCAAATATTGCATGCTTATGTATTGTGGCTATTCTCCAAGACAATTACTCTCACCTGTTTTAGTTGAATTTTCTGTGTACCGGAATATCACAGTTGGGGTTACAACATCAAAAACAAGCTATAAAAAAAAAAAAAGCAAACACAAATTCTTGAATAATAAAACAAATGTCAGAAACAAGAACTGGGGAAAAATTAAGCAGATATGTTAATGAATGTACAGAGAGAATTAATTTTTATGTAAAACATTACCAATTTAAATACTTTACTAGTGAAATTAGCTGTATAACACAGACATTTTTTTATCTATTGTATCATATAAAAACTTCATTAAGTCTTTTTTCTTGAAGGAATGACTACTATTTGACTCAATAAAAATCTTATAATATGCAGCTGACTTGCCAATACTAAATATGTAGCAATAAAACTTACAAGAGTATCAATTGATGTTGAAATTAGATCCCCATATTTGGCAGAATCTTTTTCTTCTGATTTCTTTTCTGTATTCTGAAAAAGTAGAAAATATGCTATTAGAAAATGCAGCTTTCTTTTTTTAAATGTCAATAAGAGAAAACTGTAGATGGCAGATTGTAGAGTTAATCGTAAATGAGATTAATTCATCTGAGGATCCAGAATTAGTGTATCATCAAACATGTAGTTTGGTAGAAGAATTATAAGTGAATTATGATTTATCAGAGAGATTATGTTAAATTGATCATCAAAGAAGAATATTTAAATTTAAAAATTTACTTTTATCATTTCTTGTGTTAAAAATTAAATTTTCTTTTATCCAAGAAAAACTGAATTTTAAGTTTGAAAGGAGAAAAAAAAGGTCTAGCAAACCTCACCACAAGTTTTACTGTTGGTAGTGAACTTAACCTTTCAAGCAAGAGTTTACACTGAAAAGAAAAATCATGAGAAAAATTAATGTCAGTATTATTAGAAAATGGAAAAAACGAAACATTCAATTGTGAGCAAAAAGTAATGATTTTCTTTGTTTTTAAATTTTAAATTTACAGATCGTGATCGTATTAGGGAGATGTGATTAAATATACTTTAATGTTTTAAAAAAATTTATTCAGTATTATTATTGTTTAGGTAATAAGCATTATAACATAGCACAAATAGCTATATTGTGGAAAAAGGAATTTTTGACAATATATGCATTTTTATGTATTTATGGTTATTTTTTAACTTTTATCAAAAGTGACATTCTTGTACATGTAGTTATGGATAATATAATGCATTAATTACTATTTTTTTTAATTAAAAACTATTTTTACTTAGTTGTTGACATTAATAACATTAATACTTATATGTTAAAATTTTAGAATAATGCAATAATAAAAATTTAAATTTCATCTCTCTGATAGATGTTGCGATCTGTTAATTGAAAAATGTTCAAATTTGTTTTAAAAGCAGATTTTAAATCAGCTAATATAATAAATAATTAGCATTTCAGTAAAAAAAAAAAAAAAAAAAAAAATTAATGACTGACAATTAATGTTTTGAATAGTAATCTTTGTTTTGGAATTGTTTCTTGTGTTAAACATTGGAATTTGTTGCTTGTAATTCTGAAACAGCAAAAATGAAAAATTTTTGTTTTTGTTATAATGCAATGACTTCAAAAAAATAAACAATCATGGTTGTCATAAAGAAAGAGAAAACTTACAGTTCTCAGAATTTTTGTTTTTTTTTTTTTACTTAATACAAGGCCCAAGGGCCACTTAAGGTAGAGTTTTACTGAGTGAGAATGTTGTAATAGAGAGGGAAGGAGGAAATAAGAAGTGTATATTATGTGGATATGTAGCAAGGATATTAGTTAACATTGGACTTGAAGGTGTTAAAATTATAGTGGTCAGGTAGTATCCTCTTGTGAGTCTGTTCCACAAAGTAACAGTTCTGGGGAAGAAGCTGTTCAAGGGGAACTTACTCCTTACCAAAGGAGCACAAAGAGAATGGAGATTATTTACCATAGTGAATATGACACAGTTCTAGCTGTGATAGTTTGAACCAGTAGAACTAAGAAATGTAATTTGTTAGAACATTTGCCATAGTAATCGAGTAGTGAAAGGCTAGCAACATTTCACATGGGGAATAAGGGTTTCAGGGCAGAGAATAATTAAACACCCACAGGGCCACAAACATTTTTGAACTTCAAGAAACCAAGACCAGCAGACATTAGTGAAATGTCTATGTGTGTGGGTATCAAATATTACTTCAAACATTATTATAGTGGATATTCCATATTGGAAATAGATGCCCCATTTTTATTTATTTTAACAATATGTATTATGTCTATCGGCCTGCACATTTGAGTAGTCTTAATAAAGAAAACTGTGTTCCCTGGCAGGGATTGAACCTGCATCCTCTTTGTAGGGGAAACCACCATTTGATCCAGTGTGCTTTACTGCTCAGCCACAAAGAATGAGGATCTATTTTTTCCTTTTTAAGGAAAGTACATCCCCTTTGTCCAAATTATTCTCCCAAAAGCTTCATATCTGTTCAGTTTTGTGTCAGAAATGTAAACAAAGCAATTTCCCAAGAATTAATGGATTTATTTTTTTTTTATTACTTCAAACATTATTATAATGAATACTTCATATTTGAAATAGACCAGTTGAAGTCCAGGTAGATGGATATATTGGCTACTAGTTCACATGTTACATTTAATTTGGTTCAATACACTTGGTACACTATCACATGTGACAAGAGTCAGTTGTTATGAAAAGTGTGTGCTAATACTTAGATTTCCAAGAGAGATTAAAATCTAGTAAGCAAAATGCAACAAGGTGAGTTGAATTAATTAACAAGGTGGTTAAGTAGGATAGACTTACTAAGTGGAAAGAGGATCTGATTCTATTGTGAATGCCATCATGCCCAAGACTATGCAGACAGATCCATAATGGTAGACAGGAGAGTTTTGATGCAGCATTGAAAGAGTTCATCCCAGCAGCATATGTCATTGTTGTATCTTCACACATATACAAAGTCTGACAGACAATAATCAAGGAACAAAACATCTTTTTTGATTTTTTTTTTTCACTTTTTGAACAAATTTGAAATATTTAAATATTATACAATGTGTTTATAATTTTTATGAAAGTAAGAAGGAAGGTAGCAAATTAAACATTAAATTTTGTTTTGTTTTTTATGACAATCGTAGACTTAGCCATTATTCTAAATAAACTTATCTATTCAAATATGAAATTAAAAACAATTACAACTTGTAATGAGTGATTGTTCCTAACTCAAAAGATTATAAATAATGAATTTTCAAAATACAAAAAATTAACTTAAAAAAAAAAAAAAAAAAAAAAAAAAAAAAAAATCATAAAATCATTAAGTGATGACAATAAAAGAAAAATAAATCTTAATTATAATCAGTATTTTGTAACCTGAGAATTATTTGAAAGAAACACCAAAACAATTATTAATGCTATACAACAAGATATGGTCATAAATTCTATGAACTCATGTTGCTAAAAGATACAGTTGCTTGAAGGGATGGAATGCCCAGCCACTTGCCAAGTGTTACAGTAATACTGTCTCCACATTTAGATGCCTGAACAGTGTTTGGATCAGAGAACAAGATCAATGATGCTAAGTTATTTCTGAAAAGATAAAAATCAAACAGAAACACCATGTAAAGTAAGCATCAGATCATTGCTAAGACTTTTCTTTCGACTTAAAACAATAAATGAATTAGAATAGCTAATTTACAAAGAAATATTTAACTTTCCAGATCAATAGCTAATAGTGCATAGATATATTTATGGCTACTTTATACTTGAAAACATTTTCTAAATCTTAAAAGTGAAACAATTTTTCATATTTTCTTCCAGATAGAAGAATTACAAGCATGTTCTATCTGTATTTATATCTCAGTATACATTGCAACATTTTCAGTTAATACTTTTAATAAAATAATTAAAATTATTTTATTAAAAATATAGAAAGTCTTTTTTTCTACTCAAAGAATACTGAAATTTTTCTTCACTTGATTATAAATTTTTACTGCTTAGAATTGCAAGTAAAAAAAAAGTTCTTATTAAAGAGGTACTGGTCATTCTTAGAAACTGGAATGTGTATTTTAAGATGGCCAAAGAATCTATTGGTCATAACACTGTGATAAAAATGAAGTTGAAGTTATTAGTTTGAATTATTTGTAGAATTATGCTCCGGAACAACCTGGAGTCTAGAGGTTGCATAAGATTATCATTTTAGTAAATGTAACAGTTTAGGATCACAGTTACCTCCTCTTACGTTGTTAAGTATAAAATGTGGATGAACTTAAAATTTAATTTACTATTTTTCCAACTAATAAAGTTTGTTCTTCTCTGTGATAACAGGAAAAACTTGAGTCTTAGTTTATTTAAGACTGTGCATGAATCCATGGATAAGTGATCCAAGTAGACCCTATTAATATAAAATATTAAAACTGATCTACAAAAGAGAGCTCAATATAATTTTTATTATAGAGCATATGAGTGAACTTAGCTGACATTTTTCATCCTCTGGTGGACTTTATCAAAGCAAATGTAAGGATTTTATTTTGCAATAAGTATTTATAAACAAAGTAAAAATGGTGTCATTCTTTACAAAATTTTTTAAATTAAGAATGCTAACTGAAAAGTCTAAGTAAATTATGGAGGATGATAAGTGATGTAATTTAATGTCTAATAAAATAAAGTGAGTAAATGTTTTTGGGTTTTTTTGCCTTTTTTTTTTTTTTTTTAAAAAAAAGGTAATTAATATTTATATTATTTTAGTTTGAGATTAGTTTATATATATTTTAAATAATAAAACGTTTTGAATTTAACGGTTTTCTTTTAATATTTTTTAAAGATTTTTTATGTTGGCTTGGGAAAGGAGTAATTCTTTCAGGAATGGAGATATTTGAAAAAATCCAGGATGCAGATTTATATTTTGATAAGATTAATTGTGGTATTCTTTAGATCAAAGTTATGGTTGAATTTATTTCTGTGTATGATTAATGCAATTACTAAATTGTTGTGTATAAAAAGATCCTTTTGTAAATTTCTGGAAGATTCCTGAATGTATTGTAATGAGCAGTTGTGATAGTTTATTTTATATATATATATATACCTGCTTCAGAATTATGGGTGTTTTTGGTTCTGATCATATCCATAATAAGTCTTGGATATGGTTGTAATTATTTTGCTATTATTAAGATTGGATAAATTGTTTTGGATAGTAAATGTTAAGGAGTTAGTAGGTAGCATTATGTCTATTCTAGTTCATGAATACTTGCTATAAAATAAAATCCTTACATTTGCCTTGATAAAATCCATCAGGGGGTGAAACACATCAATCAAGTTTCCCTATTGCCTATATTCATACACACACAAATTTATTTTCAATCTTCACCTTTCTATCCAAAAGTTTCCAGCAGATCAATATATTAGTTCACCTCACCATTACTTCTAGAAGACCAAAATAGGCATACTGCTTGTTTAGCTTATAGTTGATAACCTGTACACACTTAACACCTTATTAATGCTTGTAGCACAAAGGCATTATTTTAGTATATTCACTTATGTCGATTGTTGTTAGTTACACAAGTGATGTTTCTCCACAGTGTTTAGAGACTTTATCCAAAACTGTTCCCACCAAGGTCCATGGCTGATTAATACATATAACTACACCCCAAATTAAATGTAACAAAAAAAAAAAAAAAAAAATTAGTTTAATTTTTGTTCTATAAAAACTATTGTCACTTTTTAGTTTGTTGTTTTTTTCTATTTGAATCTTGGAAGTAAGCAAACAAGTAGCATACCAATACACCAGCATACTGCTACTGAAATAAATTAAGTTTTTTTTCTTCTTTTAACATTTGTAATTCTTCCAATGAGTCACTTAAGTTTCTTTTTCTTTTTTTTTTTTCAAAAAAGAATATTGGTGCATTGAAAACAAAACTAATTTGACATTTTCTTTGAATATTTACTATATTTTAACAAGATATTTTTATATCTATATGACAGAAAATGCGGGACAATTTCCTTACAAATAAGAGACTTGAAGCAACAATTCTACCAAAACTGCTGAGAATACCATGGATAGAACATGCGAGTAAGAGGAATTTAAGGAAAAGGCTTGACACAAGGTATGGTGGTCAGTAAAAGATATGTATTGGGGACATCAAAATCAAGCAGGTACAGAAATTTAACTATGGAGGTGACAGAAGGTGTGACACCAAAATTTGAAGCCCTGTAGGAATAGTTTCTGAAAGACATCTATCACTAATTATTAAGAGATAAGAAAATTTTGTTCAAAACAAAAAGTGCTGAACTGCTATGTAATATTTAAATACTGGAAAATCTCACAGATGGGGTTCTATGAACAAGTTCTGAGAAAGCCAGAAACACAGCATGTGAGCAATGAGATTTTAAGAAGAACTGCAATGAAATTGATACTAACAATTAGAAACAGGTGAAATTTCTGTGACATATGAGGAAAACGGCCTTGGGAATTTAACATTTACAGAACATTGAAGGCAAGAGAAACAGGGAGAAAACAGTTATTTAATGAAGCTGCCTAAAGGATGGCAGAGTAAGGACAGAGAAATGATAAATGGGTAAAAGTTACTTAGAGCAACAAAAGGCAGGAAGTTGTGGAGAGTCACGATCGTTTGTATCTTGACATGTCAAATAAAAAACAAGAAAATGGTCATTGCCTTAAAGTTTAGAATGTTACTGCTTTGAAATGTTTATAATTCTTTAACAAACCAATTTTCCCTCTTTGGTTGATATTGCTTTTAAAAAATGTTTTCTCCAAATAAATGTAGTTTTCTTTGAATTTTTATTACACTAGAATTTTTTTGCAACAAGCTGATGCGTGTTGAAATCCTCACAACATTTAGTATTGTTGAAGTTATCATTAATATTTTTTGTTGAGATTTACAAACTCTACCCTTCCTACTGTGTTTATATTTACAGTGCTACTAGTATGCATTATATTTTACCAGAATGAAATATATATAAAAAGTATAAAAACAATATTGCATTTTTATGAAATAAGTATTTGTTATTTTAATCATTAAATTGTGTTTAAAATAAAAGGAGTATTTTGTATGTTAAATAATAGAACTTTTAATTTTACCCCCAAAATTAATGACAATTTATTGTACTAAGCATAGTAAAGCCAACTGTATGATGTACCTACTTACCTGTTTACACTTCTCCTCTAAATTTGGTTTTTATCAGTCAATGTATGGCTATTTTAGAGGGTGTGATGGACAGATGAACTAACACAGGTCACAGAATTTTACATATAGATAGATAGATAGATAGATAGATTTTAACAAGGCTGCCAATTAACTGAATTATTGAAACTGTTGAAGTCTTATTTATGAGCACTGAAATATTGAGTTAAGAATTATATCGATATCTGTGTAACAATTAACACAGATACTACATGCAGATCCAAGGCAGAAGTGCACAAATACTCTGATCCTAGGTAAAAATAGCTGATCCATATATAATGCTGTAATTTTTAATGAGGTCTATGATAGTATTTAATAATAATAATTTGTGATCTTTATCATAATTTCTATACACAGGCTGCACATATTCAGTTGGTTAAACTCTAGTAGTAACTTAACTATTGATTCCAATCTGTATGGGGAAATGACTGCAAAACACTCATCCCTCCCCAATTTATAGGCAGAAGCAGACAAATGCATGCTGGAATTTTTTTCTAGCCAATAAAATAGGCCAGTTCAAGTTTGTCTTGAAGTCAGAATGTTACATTTGCTTGTCCGAACTTGCTTTTGTGTGTCAACCTTAATTCTTAGTTTGTGAACTTTTTGCCATATTACTGTTAATTTGCCTTGCATATATTGTTCGCTTGCTTTATATTATTTTTGCCCCGTTTTTTCTTTTTCTTTTCAATTCTGTTTGGACAATTTTGTCACTTATTTTGCATTTAACCATGGCTACTCACTCCATAGGAACTCTTAACACTTGCAATTTTATTAGTAAAGTGAAACCTAAAAATTAAACCAAGACAAACTTTAGCACCTTTATCTGATACATTAAATAAAAGAAAACATGTTGAAAATGTTTACAGGAAATAATGAATTTTAATTAGAATAGATAAATTGTACCGTCCCTTTGATTATTATTAGCTAATAGTGTGTATGAAATGAACATACAAACCTATTCTTAATTATTGTGCTAAAAGTATATTTTGTCTTTGTCACTTTACGAAGCTGATTGAAACCGGAAGACCAATATTTTATGAGTTATTCAGACACATTCTCATTTTTTTTTTTTTTTTTAACCATTAGGCTTTGATTAATGTGTTCCTTAACTTTCCTCAGTTCATATGGTAGGATTTTTTTCTTTTCTTAGGAACAGTTCTAGATTCAATTGCCTAAGAATTATATAGACAATAGTTACCCACCTGTAAATGTGAAGAGAACTGAGTTACATTTACTGTGTATATCAAAACTTATACTAATTTTTTCATGTGAAACACTGAAAATATCATTGTTTTCAGTTAAAAGGCTCCTTTTGATTTACTGAGCAGAGACATTTATATTATGTTGAATTCTACATCTTGTTTGTGTATACAGTTTTTTATCAGACATATGTACACCTTTCAGTAAGATTCTTTATTATTCTGACTTTAATCCAAAGAAAATCATGTTCCTTTTTCTTTACATATAAATATTAACAAGCCGAACTTCATGGTATTACATTGCATTAAAACTTTCATGTTCTTCAAGTCTCCCAGATGAATTGTACAGGGATTGTTTCAAAAGTAATGCCTCCTATTTTATTACCTTGGCTCATAACATTAGAAATGGATATTGGTGGTATGGCAGTAAAGGTTGAACCTTCCCCCAATAACCCATACTGTTCTTGCTTTCTTACAGATAGCAGCCAAGTGACAGTCCTGCAAAATGGTATTCGATCCAAAAGTGTGTCACTGAATTCCTCCATGCAGAAAAAAAATACACACACTGATATTATCAACACTTACTGAATGTTTATAGAAACCAAACAGTGGAGGTAAACACAGTTGGGCAGTGGCAACAACGATGTGGATGACATGTTTATGAGTACAGCATACCAGATTTTATTTATCACTAGCAAAGAGGCATAGCCAACGGTGGAGACATGTTCTATCCAATGGTGTTATGTTCCATGGAAACAAATAAAAGGCATTTTTGGAACATCTTTTATACAATTGAGAAAGGCTAAAGAATACAGTAGGTAAAACTGTGGAAAAACTGGGAAGAATGAAAATGCTAGCCTGAATAACTTTTGAAATAATGGAAACTCAGAATTTCAGACTAATCATCAAAGCTATCACTCACATTCAGCTTTAAATTAATTATAGCGTTTCATATTTAATTGATTGTAATAAAAAAAAAAAAAAAATACAGTTTATATATTAAAGAAATAATTACATTTTTGATATCCAGTAAAGTTGTTCTGTATTAATCAGCAAAACTAAATAAATTTGCAAAGAATTTAAAAAAAGAAAAAGATCTGTTTGAACAAATGGTGGACATTGCTCTTCTCTTTGGAGATTTTCAGGCCAAAGTTTAAAAAATCTTACCCTTCAACATGCAACCAAATACCATTAATGGAACATATTTCCTGTAGTCTTTTTAAATTGTCAACATGTCCAACAACTGGAGTGCCTACAAAAAACATAAAAATAAAAATTTGAAGAGTTTCCTCAGTGAATCAAGTTTCCTAAAAAAGGTCAATGCAGTGTCAAGATAAAGTTCATAAAATAAAAAAATAATGATGTTAAAAGCCCATTGAAAATGAAAAAAAAAAAAAAACCTTTCAAGTGGATGAAATAGTTGAAAGGTTTTTAATTTTCAATGTTTTTTTTTTAACAATTATTTTTTTCTGTCTGAATTTAAGAATGTTTTGTGTTTTTTACATCTGTGCCACCAAATTAGTTTATGTAATTGAAGTATAAGATTTATTTATTTTATTTCCTTTGAAATTGCTATGTTATATGTTTTCATTAAAAAAAATAAAAGCTTTTTGTGCAAAATTCACTAAAAATGTAATTTAGGAAACTTGGGCTGGTTACTAGGAAGATAAAATTAAGTAAATGAAATATGTTAAATTAATATACTTCTCTATGAAATTTTTATTCATAAAAAGCAAATGATCACTAATGATCAACTTTGTTCACTTTTATGTAATTTGCATTTCAGTTTCTAACAAATGAAAAAAAGCATTCTTAATTTTTAACACACTTCTTATACCAAAATGTAACATTTTAATTTTACTTGATTTAAAAAAATAATTTATTAATCAGATTTTTTTCTAGTCTTTATTACAAATGCTACAAAGTCTTTCTTAAAGTTCATTTTTTGATAGGTTTAATTTTTAACACATTTTTCTTTTGGAGAATTTTTTTCCTTCAATTCTGTTTATACACTGCAGAATGTATTTAAAATGCTATTATTTGTTACATAAAGTTTATGTTATAATTAAGTCAAATACATATCCCATATTTTTAGATACCATCAATGAGGCATACAACTCATTAACTCCAAACCTGCTGCTAAACCACACATTTTTAAGGGTCAATTTTTTTCTAATGCTACTATCATAAAAAAGTATATTTATGACAAAATAAGTCAGCCTAACAATAGTAACCTTATCACTAAACACTAAAATAAAAAAGTTATTTTCATGTTTGTTTCAGATTATATTTTTGTTCCAGAATTCAGTTCCGATATGATTTTGTTTCATTGAAACAGTTTTAAAGTAGATAATTCAAAGATTAAGATGCATACAACATTTTGTACACTTTTGTTAACAAGGCGTGAAGTGATGGATCTGAAGCTCAACCAAATTATATATTAATTGTAATAATTCCTTAGTAAAGAAAAAAATACCAAGATAAAGAGAAGTAACTTTTTTAGCCAAATTAATTATGCTCTTAATCTTTTTTCTTTGAATTTCTTAAGCCGACTAAGAAATGACTGAAACCCAACTGAAACTAGAAATCTTTGCTCCCAGTGGAATAATGAAATTTGAGATAAGCCTCCAGTTTTGACCATGAAACAAAGAATGTTATGATTCTAATAAATCTGAATCAAGTTTTTTTTGTTTTGTTTTTTTGCTATCTAACATGATGATTCCCTAACCAAATAGTTAATTTGACCAAATCTTGGAACTAAAGATGGATAAGGACTTGGGTGTGTATAACAAAATTGTATTTAGTATAATTTCTCAAAAGAAACATGACACTCACCAGCATAGCCTACTAAGAGGACAGGGGTTTTAGCAGCAGCAATATCATCTTGTATCAACTTCTCCAACATAGCAACATCCTAAAGAGATTAAAGAATACTTTATATTAAATCTACAGCTGAAAAAGATAAAAATGAAAACAGACAAAGATTTTAATAAAATAAATCTGAACAACACCAAACACCATTAAAAATTTTCCAGCAAAAATAACACAAATGTTTTCAATCAAGAATGATACCTATTTTAATGAAAAGATTATTGTACCACATGACAATAACTAAGAGGATTAAAACATTGATTCATAAATTTGGTGGCACAGTAATTATGAGTTTAATCCCTGTGTCAGGTAATACAGATTAAGTGGAAACAGGGTTAGCAATAACTACACAGTACTAAAAAAAAAAAAAAAAAAAAATGAACAAGGTGAGATATCCCTTGACATGGACAGTGGAATGAGAATAATCTACCCCTGCAGATTAAATAAAGGGTTCACTTTGAAATTCCCTGAAGGTTTAACCAGTTCAAAGCACCCAAAGCAAGACAGAGGGCACAATGGTCAAAATGTTATAGTAACATTAGTCAGAATATAAATAATATAAATAAGATTCACTCCATCAGAAAAATGTGTTATAAAAGTTATGACCTTTAAGTCATTCATTAAACTAATTACTTTTTAAATACAATTCAAATATTTCCTATTTATTTTATTTCTTATTCATTATTTTATTAAATTAATTAATAATGCTCAACACTTATGACTATATTATTTCACAAAAAGAATAATGCATTATTACAAGTTCTATCTGGTGCTTAGCACTAAAGCAGTTTAAACATTTAGGAGGAAGTGACTTTATTCTGATTGGTAAATTAATTAAAAGATACAGGCGATCACCAAGTTACATAAGTGTGGATGCCAGGCAATGGAGGTTTTCATTTTATGCGTAAAAAATCAAATATCTTAAAAAAAAAAAAAAAAAAAAAAAAAAATTATTTCTTGCTCAACTTTATTTAAAGAATACATTCCTAGTTTAGTTAGACTGGCATCAACACTATTTTGCCAGTCTAACTAAACTGGGAATCTATTCTTTAAATAAAGTTGAGCAAGAAATAATTTTTAATTTTTTTTTTTTTTTTAAAGATATTTGATCAGGGTTTTCCCCACTGAGAACATAAAAACTGAAACTAAATTCAGTGACTTAACACTTTGACCATAAAAGCTGTTAGCTTTTTTTTCTTTTAAATCAGCTCCAAATGTTTTGTTTTTATGACATTCTTAGTTATATTATTTCTCTGTCTCACCCCCACTTAAATGAACTTCAATAATCAGAAATATAAGCCTGATATAAATCAAAATTCCAAAAATGATAATTACCATTTTACTGCTAGCCCCAAACATAGTGTTGCAAGGAACCATACTGATGCAGGACATAGGCAGCCCAAGCTGAAAGCAAAAAAAAAAAAAAAACTATTTAGGAACAGAGCTTTAGAGGCTGGAAGCAGATAAAGAAAAAAAAAAGAACTTAAGGTTTTTATTAATATAATATTAATGAGCTTGAAAAGGAGATGGGCGCTGCCAAGCTATTTGAAAGCACATTGAAAGGATCATGAAGAAGAAGAATCAAATATCATGCTGTATCAACAGATCAGCCTGGAGAAGGTGGTCTATGTCTTCTGCCCTCAGATCCCCTTGACAGTTGAAGCATTTGAGGATCTGATGATGATGATTAATATAAATTTAAAATTCTAAATTCTGCAAAATTATTTTAAATAGTTAATTATATGAAATTCTAATATTCATCAAAATTTTAGTTCTTTTAAGGCAAAAGGGTTAGATTCTATAACAACTTTTTGATCAATATTTTTCATAAAGTATCAATAATTTAGTAAAACTGTTTTTTGTTTTCTCTCAGACCATTTAAATTTTTAGTTATTTTCTAGAAACAAGTTCTGACATCATAAGTTTTTATCTGGCAGCTCTTACCCCCACAATGAATTATAGAAAATAACACTGCCACAGGGGAAAGAGATATGAAAACATTTTACAGGTGAAACAAAGTCAAACTAAATATTTTTCAATGAATCAATAAAAAAATTTTAAATTTCTGGAAGAAATATATAACTGAGGAAGATTGGAAAGCCCACCAACTGAATGTACATAAAAATTAAAAAAAAAAAAAAAAAAAAAAATCAACAACTAAAAATTAAAATCATGCTTTGAGCTTAAAAGAAAAAATTGGTTAAGCTCTGCACATATGACACACAATAAACCTCCCTTCTTTTCATTTTGCCTTGTTCATCTCAATTATTTCTAATGTTAAAAAAGAAAAATAATGGTTTAGACCTGCACAATAACTGATACATAACAGACATCTCTTTTTTTCCTAACATATTTTTACTCTGTTCATAACTATTCCTAATGTTAAAAAAAAAAAAAAAAAAAAAAAAAAACAACATGATACTGGAAATTATTTTGACCTAGGCATTGTGAATATGTATTTGCAAATAAAGTGTGATTTTTAATGTCCAAAATAGTTGATGAACAAGATAAGCAATGAACCTGTGTGCAAAGATGTTGACCCAAACCAACAGGGGATGCTGAACTGAGGTATATGACAGGTGGTCGAGAATACAAAGCTTCAAAGCCTTCTGTTCCATACTTGGGATATTTCTGATGTAAAGCCAACTTGCAGACTTTTACCAAACCCTCTCGTTCTTCATAGTGGTAATAAACATGGGCATCAGATAGTCTGAATACAAAAACAGAAATTTAAAAAGAAAATCAGTCCCAATATCAAAATTCTTTAATCAGATTTTAATTATCTTGAAGAAAAAAAAAAAAGGAATTTAAAAGATTTCTAATTTTCTCAAAACATTAAAAGAAATAAAGGGATAAAAAAAGAAGAACCCCCCCTTTTTTTGGGAAGGGGTAGTTAAAACTATCTGAGATAGCTAAACACTCCTACCTCTCACAATTCCAGATAAACTGTGAATATCATATGGTCACAATCAACTTTCACTTGCATAATATTGATTGAAGAGTGATATAAAAAGAATCTAAATACAGATTGGACATCACTAATCCAGCAATCAGCAATCCAGCACTAATTTCCACAGGTGTAATTTCATATAAATCTTACTTGCAAATTCCACCTCTTCACTTTGGAAGTGCAAGTGATGAACTTTCTTATGTAAGTTAACAGAATTACTTGTAATCTTTATTTTATCTGTATTTCATTAAAAGTTTACAGGATTTTCATTTAATTTTTCCTTTATTAACTAACATGGACTGATTTACAAGGTATTTTAAAGCTAAGATGAAGTAGTTAATTATCGAGTTAAGTGTTTTCTAACCTAACCATCAGTAATCTAGTAAAAATCTCTCATCCAGCATCCTATAGGTTAGTGATAGTTGACCTGTAAATGCCTCTCAAAATTCTATGATTACTCAAAACCATTAATAAACCCTAGTGATAACAAGTAACATTTCTAAGAATATTGTTTTTATTTTTAAAGATTAAAGCTTGTGTATGTACTGAATAATAAACCTGCCTATTGGCTGAAGTAGTTTGCAGGTTTCCCACAAGTATCAATAGTTGCTGTTTAAGCCTAGATAAAAGGCCAGAATATTAAGTAACTTTTTCTACCTGGCTAGACTAAGTTTAATATTGAATGGAAGAGGAGGCAGCTTTTTTTTTTTTATTTTTATTTCTCATCATTACTTATCACATTATATCAAGATGACAATAAGATAACCGGCAAGTTTGCAGTTCATGCCTTTCACAATATTAAAACATTAGAATCAGGTATATATAAGATTAGATTCTTCTAATTGTTAGAAAAAAATAAATAAACAGGGTGTGTCAAAATTTATCCCAATGTTATAAGCAAGTTTTATAAAACTATTAATATTTGGTATAAGGTAATATTTTGGGTCAGTAAATTGGAAACTTTTCTCAGAATGACATTATTTTTGTCCAGAATAGAAATCTGATCATTATAAAGAGTACAAAATGGTAGCCAACAAAAGAGAGGAAAATAAATAAATAAAAAAAAAGACTAAAATTAAGTTTCTTTCAAGTTGAAATGAATCTTACCTAAACAACAATGTCAATATTGCCTGACAATCTGCTGTGATTTTTGATGCAATTGCCTTCATGTGGCTTTCACTTAATGTGGAAATGTAAGCAGTCAAGCAATGGCCAATCAGTGATGCATGGCTAACAGCATCTAATTCAGGAAGTTCGGCAGGACTATGAGAAAAAATACAAGTAGTAACAAGGGGTCAGAGTTCAAACAGAATCATTTTATTCAAGTGAATTTATGTTCATAACAGATAAAATTCAAAAGACAATGGATTCATAAAATTGACATTATTTTATTGTGTGTGTATATATATATATATATATATATATATATATATATATATATATATATATATATATATATATACACATACAACAGTATTGAGGCCATTCAAATTTTTTTTTTTATTTGGTTTTTTCTATCAGTGCAAAAGCACTGATAGAAAAAAAACAAAAATAAAAAAATGTAGATAAATGTTTTGAAAAGTTCTTAGCCTGACCAATTTTCCCCAAATCATTATTCTGATGTTTTGTTATTGAAATACTGATTTTGGGAAGTTTTTCAGTCTGATACTTTTTCTGCACTGGCCCTGTAATCTAGTAAAATTTTTAATTAATGGTCACTCTATACAAGGCCCAAGAGCCACTTAAGGTAGAGGGTTATTAAAAGAGCTAGGGGCACCTCGAGGCAGTGTAATGGTTAGCAAGCTTGTCTCACTAGAACAATTACTACTGAGTAGTGAGTTCGATCCTCACTGGGTACCCCTTACATTCGGCCTTGTGCCACATTAATCCACGCTTGGAAAATCACTATTAAAAGAGCTAGTTATGTGAGCAATAAGAGTAAGTTTGGCAGGTAAGGAAAGGTAAGGGGCTCAGTTTATGAGGATATGTGGGAAAGACAACAGTTGACCCTAGACTTGAACAGGTTGAGATTGAAATGACTGGGGAGGCATCCTCTCAGGAGCCAATTTCGCAAAGCAGCAGTCTGTGAGAAGAAGCAGTTTGAATAGAATTTACTTCTCACTAATAGAATACAAAGGAAATGAGAGTTGTTTTCTATAGTGTACATGGCATGACAGGTCCTAGCTGTGAAGGTTAGAACTGGTGGAATGAAGGAATATAGCTCATCTGAACATTTCCCATGGAAATGGCGATAGACTAGTGAGAGGCTTGCAACATTTTGTTTGTGTGAAAGGGGATCTAGGGTTGAAAATAATTCATCACTCACAAGTCCCAGTAAATATTTTTTGACTATATAGAAACTGGAAGGTGAAGACTGGGCAGCTCCAGCCCAGATATGGCAGGTGTACTCCATTTTCGATCTGATCTGGCTCTTGTAAAGGTAGTGAATAACAGGAGGAGTCAAGTACTTACATGAGCTGTACAGGGAACCAATCATTTTTCCAGCATTTTTAGCAATGGTTTGTTGAGGTCTAAAGTGATCTTAAGTCCCAATAGATATTCAAGGTCTCTCAGTCATTGTGATATACAAAAATTCAGGAGCTGTTCATTGATGATGGAACATTATTATTTTGATTTTTGTAGTATTGAATGTGACCAGCTAGTTTTTCTCCCTACTGAGCTATTAGAGCTAGATCAGATGCAAGATTGTTTGCTAAATTCTGGTCATCTAGAATTTTGGTGGTGCATCCATATACTGTTTTACCATCTTCATAGATATCTTCAATTGATCAGTGTATATGCTTAGGCAGATCATTAATGTAAAGCAGAAAGAGTTGGACTGAGAAGCAAGCCTTGGGAGACATGGACCTCAGGAGACTGGCCATTAATAACTAACTTCATGGATCTGTTAGGAAGGACTTGGTAATTGAAAAGACTCTTTCAGCAATTCCATAGCTGGAAGTTTTGTGTAGCAACCCTCTATGCCACGCCTTGTCAAAGGCCTTTGATATATCTAATGTGATCATCTTTAAGATAAATTTATTATCTAATGCCTTACTGATTCTGTGAATAATGACAGGATATCAGCAGTGGACCAAGCCACTTGAAATCTGTATTGTTTGTTGCTGAAAAGATTGTTCCTATTGAGGTGATGAACAACATTCTTGTTGATTACAGCCTCAAAGAGCTTGCTGATGACAGGAGGCTGATGGGCCAAGACAGGGATGAGCACTCACCTCCATTCTTAAAAACAGGACATATATTTGACACCCTTCTACAGACTTAGGAATGATTTCTCCTTCAGCAGCAGTTAAACAGGTTTTATAAGATTGGGGATAACTTAGATTTTATCTGGATCAAGGGTCAAGGCTTTTGACGAATCTCGAGTCTTCAAAGGCAATGATAAAAATATTACCAAGTTTGTGACCTGTGAGGTTGAGGTTGATCGCTTTTGTCATCTAATGTGGAATTAGAGACAAAGATCGTAGTGAAGACTTCTGCCTTATCTGATGAGGATGAGATAACCTCATAGACATTTATGAAAGTAGGCATTGATGCTTTGCCTCTATTGAGAATTTGGATGGAGATTTTCCAGAACTCCCAGGATCCAAGTTATTTGCTTTTGACCTTGGCCTGGACTGCTTGTGCATAGCTGCACTTTGCATTTTTCTAGAACTCTTGCAATGATTGCAAGGTGAGGTGATGAACAACATTCTTGTTGATTACAGCCTCAAAGAGTTTGCTGATGACAAGAGGCTGATGGGCCAAGACAGGGATGAGCACTCACCTCAGGAGCTGTTCATTGATGACACTGTTTCCTGTGATAGATATAGTAGTAGTAGTAATGGTGGTTACAATGAGCTATGGTTGTAGCACATTCAGGAGTGAACCAGGGTTGGCTATTTGGTTTTTGTTGGAATTTTTTCTGGGGGTATAAAACTTTCTATGCCAGAAAGTATCTATAGATGAGTGCAGCACTTCTGGAGGCTCTATATTTGAAGAATGCTGAGAGAGGATCTTCCACTATGTAAAATCTAGAGCAGTCCCAGTCAAGTTTGGAACTTTGGAGTACTGAAAAATCATTGTATGGAACAGCCTGTCAGGGGATGCTTTTAATTTGGCATCAACTTTAATACTAAAAAGTGAATAGTCTGAAGTATCTAGGGGATGTAACACTTCAGTGGAGCATTTTTTAGAGCAGGAAGAGGTCTAGTAGGTTTGGGTGATATTCTGTTGTGTCACAAATACAAGTGGCCTTATCAATGATCTGCATCAGCTTGTAAACAATGGAGAAGTTTTGGCAGTATCTGCCTTCTTTATATGTCAATTATATTTTAGTGCAAAAACATTATCCTTCTGTTACTTTTTTAAAATTTAAAAACTGAACAATCAGTTCTATTTTCTGAATATCTGTAAAAATTTGCTATTATTTTGTTAAATTTTCATTGTGTTAAAAGAAAAAATAGGATGATTATAAATTTTCATTTGAATTCTAAATTTAAATATTTGAAAATTTGGAGAGTTATTCTATTTGGAGTTTGATCTTTAAACTGTTCTTCAGTTAATATACTGTTTACAATGCATTACATAAGCCTTCATATATAAATTTATATTTACACATGAAAAAAAATGCAGATAAGTGGTTTTTATCATCCTCCAAAACACTTGCATAGCTGTAGAAAGAAACATTTTCTTATGCAATGTAAAAGTCAAAACAGCATTAAATAATTCTAAAAGGAAAGATTTATTGCTTTCATAAAACTTACTGGGTTTTTTCTTCTTCTTCCATAGACTTTTCATAGACAATCATCTGTTCTATATTCTTCATTGTTTCAAATATTCTGTCTGCATATTCCCCACTAGAGAAAAAAAATTTAATAAATTAGAATGTACTAATTTTCAAATAGAACTTTCAATTTCAGATTTCAAGAGAAGCATTTATAATAATAATAATAATTGCAATAAATATATAAAAATTGCAACTTACAGGATATTCTGTGGCATCACAGTGTCAATAACTGAATCACTTTTTTTTTCATCAAAAGATTCATTTCTGAAAAGAAAAATAGTTAAAAAAACATTGTTAATAAAACTAAAATTTAAATTAGGAAATTAAGAAAATAATTGGTGTGCAATAAAGAATAATTTGAAATCTATTTTGTAAGGACATTTTTTAAGATAATTTACCAAATTTTACATAAATCTAACCCAAATAAAAGTAGTTAGCTTAACTGAAGTTTTCTGCAATATTTTATTGAAGGGAAAAAAAGTCCACATGAGCCTGAATGGTCAAAACTTCATTTGACAAATCCTCAGTTATGGTAAGGAAAACTTTCTTTAAGATTAAATCAGCTTGGTCTGATTTTAGTTGACATACTTAAACAGATGTTACATTAATGAAACTTATTTATCAATCAAAAACTATTTCCATGTTAAAAAAAAAAAAAAAAAAAAAGCCATTGAATTAGAAAACTCTTCCTGACAACAGCTTGGAATAGACATTTCCACAGTTCTATAAGTTTATTACTGAATACAACATTAAAATAACTTATTAATATCTATCAAAAACAAACTGTTGTCACTGGAAAGTTTTCTATTGAACCAGATCTTCCATACATAATTTAATGATAATGACAAAGTGTTTTGTCAACAAATATCATTTCAAAACAGTGTGTAGACTCCTATTTCATGAATAAATAAATTTGCCTACACTAATATTTCAAGACAAAAACTTGATTAGCCTCTTGGATAACTATGAAATTTTTTTTTACTACCATACCCACTTCTAACAAAATATCCTAAACAGAAAAAAATGTCCTGATATAAATTAATAACAAGTGATACAAACAGAAAACAAGACCTGTTCAAAGAGAAAAGGTCAAAGTACCAAATGGAGACCATGTTAGACATAATGTGTCAATGTTTATATAGTTACAAAAGAAAATATTCAATTTTGCTTAATGACCTTCTCAAAACCACCATTCTGTATTTTAGGTTGAGGTAATCTACATTAAGAAGAGCAGATTATCTGTCCATCATACACTATGCAATGTATGCACATATGTGTATGCACATATGTGTATGTCCATGTTGGGTGTGAGTGACTTACATGTTCTTGTATTATTTAATGTACGGATATACATACATGCATAATTTGACTTAGTTTGAAATAAGACATTGGAATAATACATTCCTCTCTCAATCAGTGTGGACAACCCTTTTCATGGGCTGAGCAATAAAATCAAAGTGGAGTTAGCAAAAATAAAAACTTAACTTCATGTCTGTTAAAATGTCTCTTTGCTTATGTGTGTATATGGCTGTGAAATAACATAAAAAGTAATCAATCTTTAAGTTTTCTTTTTTCTTTCTTTTTTTTTTTTAACAGTAGGGTTCACTCTGTACAATGCCTGAAACCCACTCAAGATAGAGGGTTATGTTAAGGGGTAGTTTACATGGATAGGAGGGAAAGCTAACAGTTGACTCTAGACTCAAACAGCTTAAGGTTGCAGTGATCGGGGAAACAACCTCTAAGCTGTTTAAGTGGAACTTGCTTCTTGTTGATGGAAGTTTAGACCTGGCAGAACCAGGAAATGTCATTCATCTGAGCACTTTCCATGGTAGTAGCAATAGAGCAGGGAGAGATTTGCCACATCCCACCTGTGAGAGAGACGTTGGAGGGTGGAAAATAATTCTTCTCCAACAATGGCTCGGAGACACTTTTGAACTCTATCAAGACTGGAATGTAAGGTCTGGACAGCTACTGCCCAAATATGGCAACAGTGCTTCAATCATTTTATTTACATCTTTATCAACGGAACATATATAGGTGTTCCACTTGAGGTCAGGTGTGAGTTTGAGACCCAATATCCCCTTAAGGCTTTGGGCCTTTTCAAAGAGACATCTGTTCATCATGACTGGTGGTAGTTCAGAGTCTGATCAGTGGTGTAGAATGTAACCAGTTTGGTTTTAGAGGCATTGAATATAACCAGCCAGTTTCCCCCACCACCAAATGAGAATTTAGTATTAGATCAAAAGAGAGGTCAGCTGCCAATCTTTGATCGTCAAGAGTTTTAGAAGTGTGCCTGTATATTGTTGTATCATCAGCCTAGATATTTACAAATGATCAGCATATACTCTTAGGTAGATCATTTATGTACATCAGAAGTGATCCCCTGGAAGATGCCTGTGTTGATCACCAGGGCTTCAGAAAACTTACATAAAGAGACCATTAATAAATTATTTCACTGTTTCTATCTAAGTCTATTCATATCCCTAACATATCAATATCAGCCAAGAACCTGACAGCATAAAGATGAGCACAAATTAAATATCCAGTTATTTATGATAGTGATTTGAGGCTAAACTTAAAAATAAAAAAAAATTAATGGATACAAAAGTGAATTCAGATAAAATAGCATAGTTAATTTCTTGGAAAAAAAAAAAAAATCTGTTTATGAATCCAAAAATATTAAAAAATTATAAGAGTTTATTGTACTTTTTAGAAATTATTCACTAATAAATAAAATTATTTAAAAAAGTTTTTTTTTGTAAATTTCATGGAAATATTTTTAAACTTGAAATCAAATCAAAATATACATACATACACAATTTGAATGAAACTGAAATGAATTTCTGTCTCAAGAGTGCTAATTTCCCTATCCAGCAAAAATACCTGGTTAACTGGAAAAGAATATAAGCAGAAATGTGTGGTTCTTTGAAGTCATTTTTAGGACTCCTGTATTTAAACTGAATATATTAATTTCTAATAGATTCAATATTTTAAAATGAACAAACAATTTAGATTTGAAATTTGATAATCTTGCTGTCAGCAAATTGACAGGTACTGAACTAGTAATAAATAATATGTAAATATTTTAAACATTTCAAGTTGATAGCATACTAAAGGTTAAATGAAAAAAGAAAATCTTATAATCATTACAAATGGCTCTGTTATAGTTGATTAGCTGTTAATCTATTTAAAATAATTACTTTTTTTTTGCAATTATTTTAGAATTGAAATCAAGCAAGTTTGACTTGTATTTTAAGGTCTCTCTTAGAAGAGAAAATCTTGAGTTGCAGTTGAAACAATTTCTTTTAGAATCATATATCACTAGCAGTAGAGCCCGGCATTGCCCGGGGATGTAACAGTAAGAGATAGATCAAGTATCGACCATCATAAAGACTGAAAAATAAAATTGACAAAGATTATTGTTTAAGGTTGACGGACACGCATGTCTTAATTAGTTTTCTTTTCTTTTTTCTTTGTTTTTTTACGAATTGGTCAAACCCAAACTCAAATAAAAACATTGTTTACAATCGTTATGAGTCTATCGATTAATGAATAGAATTTTATTATAAACAATTGTCTTGTAAATGGAATTTTTAAAGCATTCTGAATGTAAAAATAAAGAAAAAAGTGTGCAAGACAATAAGAAATACTACCTGCCAAAAAAAGCGAAGTTTTGTTGAAATCGGTTGAAAAATGTAGGTAGCCTTTCTGTAATCTTTTAGTTTTACAATTTATGATTTTTACTTATTGAAGACAGTAAAAAAAAAAAAAATTGCATATTTTGCTTGTGGTGATTCATAAATAGAATTCTGATTTGAATATATTTTCCACTCGTTTCTAATACAAAAAATATTAACTTTATTTGGGTTTATTAATTTATTACAAGGTAAGTACTGTGTTCTTTCCTTAATAATTATCATCTTCGAAATATTGTTGTTTTTTGTCTATCAGATTTCTTACATCAGCATTTTTAAATTATTTCTTAATACTTTCTTTTAAATATTGAATTAATTTCAAATAGAATCAATGCCTTATTGATCTGCCTTGTAACAAATTGCAAAGGGAATTGTAAAACGGCCCTAAAATGCGTGGAATTATCTTTCCCTAAAGATAAAAAATTATCCGATGTTTCGATTCGTACAATCAGTAGAGATCGTTAGATTATTGTTTAGGTTGACGGACACGCATATCTTAGTTTTTTTATTTATTTATTTTTTTTTTTTTACGAATTGGTCAAACCCAAACATTGTTTTCAATCGTTATGATGAGTCTCTGGATTGAATAGAATTTTATTATAAACAATTGTCTTGTAAATGGAATTTTTAAAGCATTCTGAGTGATAAATAAAGAAAAAAAAGTGTGCAAGACAATAGAAACACTACCAAAAAAAAAAAAAAAAAAAAAAAAAAAAAAAAGTGAATGTTTGTTTTATCGGCTGAAAAATGTAAGAAATCCGATTCCATATATAAATGAACACACACACACAAACAACGTGGGTTTTTTAACACGATGTGAGTTGTCCCCCTTTCATTCTCACAATGTGTCTTAATCGTGTTTTCAAATTGATTTTGTTAAAAAAACAATTTTTTTTCCCATTTTCGGCGCTGTTAGAACCACCACAAGGTAATTTTATGTAGTCCTGTGAAGTTTTGTTGAAATCGGCTAAAAAAATGTAGGAAATCCGATCCAATATATAAACGTTACAGACACACACACACAAACTGCGTTTTATAATAAGTAAGATGAAGAGTTGCCTTTGATGAATTAATTAACTAACAGAGAGAGAAAAAAAAAATTTTGGTCTGTTTATCATGAAGAAATTGAGAACTTTGTCAACATTTTTAACTCTCAACACCTGTGCAATGCAGATCAATGACTGAGAACCAATGTCACATGTTTGCATAAAAATGATTTAATCATATAAGGTAAAAATATTAAAGTTTCAGAAAATAAGGGTAAGTAAATGGAAACATTTCTGAACCCGTTTTATCAGATATAACAAGATTTAAGTAGCAAAATATTAACAGAATTCAACATCAGACAGTATATTTCAAAACAAGATCAAAATACACATTTTTATAGAATTCTTAACACATTAATGCCCATTGTACCATTTTTGGTCAATAGAAATGTAGAATTAATACCGAATCTTTTTTTAAATTTCTTTTAGAAACCTATAATACTAGATTTTCATTTTTATAAATAATAATTCATTTTAATTAAGGGGTTAATTCCAGTGGGTAGAGAGGTGTATACTAAAACACTTGTGGTAATATGATAATTACCAGGTTTTATAAACCATTAAAATGTGCCCCAGCAATATAGCACTGTGTCAAATTTGTCTTTGTCCTAAAATGCCTATATCAGTTTTTGTTATAGATAAGTACAGACCAAGATTGATACAAGAGGATGCTGAAAAGTTCTCAGCTTGATCCACTTTCCAAAATCTGACCAAAGGGCTAAACATCAGAATTATATCTTATCGGTCATGCATCAACGTGGTGAAGGATATCAAAATTTAGACTTTCACACTTAATTTCATCATTAATAAGAAAAAAAAATAATATGAGCATTAGTGGTAATATTTTTTAAAAACTACTGCTTATTTATATTAACATAATACACATGTAAAACATTTAAATATATAGGGCTTATGGCCATATAATGTTGAAAACTGATTCCCATGTGATCACTGAAGTTAAGCAATGTAGAAACTGGTCAGTACCTAGATGGGTGACCACTTAGGAATACCAGGTGCTATAAGCTTCGATGTGTGGGCGGTGTAATGGATAATGGCTTGGAAATGTTAATTGGAGAGTCATTCCAATTCCAGTTGAATTTGTTATATTTATATATGCGTATATACCCTTGGGAAAAGTATGAATCTGCTTCTCTCCCTAGCAGCGGGTTAATTAGTAAGAGCTATATCACTAAATCATTATTGAAAAAAAAAAAAAAAAAAATTCTTACAATCTAAAAATATTTTTTGGCTTTTAATAACCTGAAAAGGGTTGTTAAACCATAGAATTACTTAAATATATAGTTTGAAACCTTCCTTTAATTATAAGTTTCCAAACTGGCAATTTTGTTTTGTCTGTAAGGGAGGGTAAGGAACATCTATTTTATCAGGGTAAACTGCTGTTTAGGAATTATAAGTAAATATAACAAAAACTTATATAGAATTTTTTTTAATATTAATATACAGAACTCTTCCAATTTTGTTTATTCTCTTGCTAGCACCATTAATACAAGACTTTATCATTCATTCCTATTTCAGTTATAGTGTTTTCTAAAAAACCAACAGATGCAGTATACATCCATTATCTGAAATGTATTTAAACACTTTCATTGCTGTGGACATACATATTAGTCTTTATAAAACTTTCATTGCTTGCTGCTGATGTATAGGTACGTTTTCAAAACACTGAAATGTCAGTCTTTAGCCTTTGTGACAAAATATGACTTGCGCTTAATGTTATTTCTAAAACAAGAGAAATATCTTAATGTGTAATATAACTTGTTTTTTTATATCACGTGTTGGGGGAGGTATCATTTAGCTTAGTCTGTAGTATAGAGTATACAATAGAAACCAAAATCACAGCACCAATGAAAATTCACCATCAGCACCTTTATAGTCATTTATTTCCAATAAATTACAATTTCATTTTTTTTTTTTTTTTTACCTCAAAATGGGCTAGCATACAGGCAACATTGAAAGAGTTAACACAACTGAAGGTAAAAAAAATGTGAAATAATGGTCTTTTATGTAAAGAATCTTACTACCATGAGAGAGAAAAATAGAACCTCAAAGTTTATGTCCTGTAACCCTCTTATAATGTGCATTCTATTTAATTGCTTGATTAATCCACTTTTTTTGTTTTGTTGTTATGCTACCCATAACCATATAATCCCCTTTCAGTACCAGGTTTTGTCCAAATGGTACCAGATGTCCTTATTTCGAACAGCTGCTATCAAAATGACCAGTATAGATTTCTTCTATCCTATCTCCACCAATATCATTTTGAATGTCAAGAGGAAGCCTTTGCTGTTGTCAAATTTTTTCCATTTTCCTTATGAATTTTATTTTTATCAAAGAATCAGCCTATTGCTGATCAATGTTATAGAAGATATTACTGAATTTATAGTGCCATAGATAGTTTCTCAAATGGGCTTATAATGACCCATGATATGAGAAGCCTGGATTGCTAAAATTAATTTTTCAGAACATTTTTAATACAAGCTTAATACAGTCTTCTTTTTACTGAATGAATTTTTATTTAATCCTACTGAAGGCATCCTGTGTCTGTTTCTTTCTATACAAGTTCTGTTAAACTGGATTTGTCATGTCTCAGATAATGTCTATCCAATGGGACATACTGCCTTTAGTGAGACAAGGTAAAACTGATAGACAAGGAATCATAATAGAAAGTCTATCATTTAAAGGAAGCTGACAGGTTTTTGTTAAAAGAATGCATAAGTAAGCAACATGTAGATTTTTTAACACCTAGAAATCAATGCTCAGGAGAAAAAAAATTAATTTTAGTAGTTAAGGTTCCTCATATCAAGAATCATTATTATTGTAGTGATTTTAAATCTCATTAAATATGTAACACTAAGATGAGTTTAGTGAATATCTATAGGTCAATTCATGCCACAATAATCACTATAAGTTTGGCCTGATGTTGAGAGCAACAAACTATTCCTTTTTATCACATACACACATTATATATACAAGAATAGGACATAAATCCACATGTTTGGTTCCTCTATGTTAAGGTCTTAAATCAAATGTTCAAGTTCAGAAGACACAGAAAAGAAATTCTTTTTCTGCGGTGAATTAAACTTCAGAAACAAGGAAAACTAATTTCAAATAACACCAAGGGTCATTCTAACAAAAAACTCAAAACTCAGCAAAAGTAGAAAATGCTGTTAACTTAACAAAATTATTTGAACAAGAAATGTAAGTGAACACAAAATATTAAACATCGATACTAATAAAACCTTGACTAAAACCAGGAACAACTTCAAAATGAAGGCATAAGTCTACTTCTACATTTATAAGTTACTGTTGATTGATACATTTGTTTTCTAAGATTTGTCAGCCTTTTTTTAGGATATTTAAAGCCAGAAAATATTTATCCAACTTTACAGTACCTGGTATTCCCAAGCAGTCACCCATCTAGGTACTGACTAGGCTCAATATTGCTTAACTTCGATGATCACACAGGAACCAATGTTTCAATGTGATGTGGCCATAAGCCCATTAAAAGTTATCTAATGTTAGATTTTAATCCTATCTTCAAAACACGTCATAAAACATCTTATGGCCAAATATTTTCTGAATAAAAAAGTAATCTAATACAAAGTGATATAACTGAAATAAATCTGCTCACAAAATTGAATTCGTGTATGTAGTTCATGAATTAAAAACGTGTAATTCAAAGATAGGTGGGTAAGTTTCTTGCTAGTCAAAATAAAAAGAGCAAAGTGAAAATATAGCCAAATGATTTCTATTTTTTGTAGTTAACAAGTGTGACAATATAATGAAAAGAATAACAAAAAAGAAAAAAAATAATGAAAAAGAAAAACATTTGGAAAATCACAAAGTGGCAATCATAGCTGGTTGTCTATTTGGCAAAATACAAGTGCAAAAGTGCTCTAATTTAAGTCAACTTACACTTTGATCATGAGAGACAAGCAGAAAACCAGTCATCAATTTTCCTATGGAGAGTACATGTGGTAAAAAGTACAAACACTTCCTTCATTTCAAATCTGATTTTTTTAATAAATCCAAATTACGTGTGTTGGAAGAGAAATGCAGTTTTTAATGAGGGCAATAATGATTGCAACATTCAAGCATGGCACTGTTAAAGCTGATGGGGGACTGAATGAAGGAAGTAGCGTGCTTGAACTGTTATCATTCAGGTCAAGTGCTCAATTAGAATCACAATATAAAATATCTCTAACAGATCTCCCTGCCCCTCCTCAAAAGTATTTTCTTTATTTTGTTCCTTTATAAATTATTTTTGATATCATCTTTGTTTTCTTCTTTTTACTTTATTTCTTGTGTCCCTAAAAATAACAGATTCATAGGAAATTTTCTTTAACACTGAATGAAAGAGGTTGATATGCAATGTGTGATATTTTTATGCCTCCAAAATAAGCCAGATATCAAAAATATAGGTATATTTATCTGGATTCCCCACTAAGGCAGGATGTGACACAAGGTCATTTTATATGGGGAGCCCATACACATACAGGACAAGAATTGCCCAGTTCCCACAACCACTGTCATGCTGGTGTCAATATTACATTGACCCCACTTCTCTTAGTGCAATAAAGGAGGAAGGTGCTGCCACAAGGTTGGAATCCCCAGGACTGCACACCTTCACCCATTTAAAATAAGAATAACAGCTTACTCCACTTCCATCCAAAAGTGAACTCTTGTGCCAGGTAAGCGTCATAGGTATGTATCCATTTTTTCTAACACTGGATTTTACAAAATGGAGCATTCTGATACAAAGTACATCTTACAGCATCACCAAGATGAATGTGGACTGATCAAAAGATAGGCCTGCAACATAACTTATATAAAAAAAAAAATTTTGATTACCCTTCAGCTTGACCCATTGCTTTTCTTTTTTAAAATCTAATTGTTCAAGTTTTTGACATTTATCCTACAAGCCAAGTGGCTTAAATTGGCCTAGATTATTTTTTTTTGTTTGCCTAAGAAATGTTCAATATCTTTCCTAAACCTACTCCCATTGTTCTATCTGATTGAGCGGTGGAAGCCTTGTATTACTCTTCAACTATATTGCTTAGTCAGAAAGACATTACAGATTATAGTCTTAGCTAATCTAAGATTGTGGTCTTCAACAACTTTTAGAATTTTCATATAATGAAGTACATCACCCTGTCATAATGTAAATATATTTATTCACCTAATTGGGGAATCAGAGGGACAGGAGTTATAAGTATTACTTGATCTAACTAGTTTATATTAGTAAGTTCCAGATTCAGATTTTTAATCTACCCTGTGTCAGTTATTTTTGGTGTAGTTGCCCATAAAACTTCTTGAAATTAAATTCAGAATAAAAATAAAAAACATAATAATTTTAGAAAATTACTTTCAAAATTGTGTAGTCTGTTTCATGTAGAATTCCTTGAATCTTATTAACAGTAGATAGATGGCTTTTAGCTTTCATGTTTACGAACAAGAACTACAAAATAATTAGTTTTGAAAAATGAAGTAAAATTGATAATTTTTGTAGGGAAGACATGTTCCTCCAATTTAGAATTTTTAAATCTGAGCAAGAGGCACTTATGATGACAATTTAATTTTCTAATACAAAATAATATGATCTCTGAATTTCTGAGATGGGGAGTTGTTATTTACATTTGGATTATTGTCCTCATCTTTGTTGTTGTTATGTTTTGGCTGTTGTGACCTCTAGCATTCATCAGGTGTATGTTGATTCAGGTAACCTACAAGGGATTCCAAACAAAGCCTTTTATTTAATCTATGGGGGTAGACTTTTCTTGTTCTACTACCCATGTCTAGGGATAATTCATCTAGTTCTTATTTAGTCCTGCTCAATTATTGCTCACCCTGTTTCCACAGAGTCCAAGTACACACTAGGACAATTCTTTGTGGAGAACTTGGAGAACAATATCCTATTGGATTAAAGCATTAGTTTGTGAATTTGGTGACATAATAATTGTGAGTTCAATTTCTGGACCAACTAGTGCATACAGGGTGAGT